TTCCATATACTCTAAAAAAGTGTACCTCCTGCCAGCCACTTTGCAATAGGATGGGAGGGAGAAGAAATTTGCCAGGCAGTGGTAGAATTTTTGAAATGCAGAGGAAAAGCAGTGGCATCAACAGTCTAGGATCAGGGTGAACCAGTCCTGGTCTCCCATCTACCGCTGACAACTGGGATGGTCCGAGATGGGACACTTAACATTTGTCAGGAGGTAGACAATGCTTTAAGCATGTACTGCTGTGTAAAAGTAAGGTGTGACTACTAGGATATGATTGAATACTGAAAAAATTTTAATGGCAGTATAAATGGAGGGTTTTATTTTTAATTATTTTCTGTGACTAACTAAGCAGGACGGATTCTTAAGTTCTCTTGGTAATTAATGAATGAATATCAGGGGCTTTGTGATAAAGACTGCCTGCCCACTTGTCTGAAGACCTTTTATCCAAGAGTTTCCTTAAATAAGTGGTTCACCCAGATCACAGAAGCCAGAGAGCTAACTGTAACATGGGCATCGCGATGAGATATTTTAGCTGCTACTTCCATCTGTCACTGTGTTAGACATGAGAAAAGGCAAAATTACCAGCAACAACTTCAAATGAAGGAACTTATCAACAATAATGAGTTCTATAAGAAAACTCCTTTAGAGAGTTAGAATGACTTGTCATAAAATCAAGTTGGTTTTAACCAGTTTTTCAACATACTGATTATTTTCTACAGGGTAAAAAGGGAGTTTGGGAGGTGCCCACCATGATTAGATCAGAAAGCTGTCCTAGGGAAGACTTTAACCAGCTTTGCTCCCTCCTTTCAGTCTAGGGTTGTATCTGTAGCTTCCACCTGGTGTAGTGATTTCCATCCTCGCCATTTGTAAATGACGCCCCAAGAAGGTATTAGGGAAAAGATCATGTTCCTTTGGGGTTGTTCACTGACTGTGGTCAAAGGATTCTTTCCAGTTACCCACTCAGATGGAACTGGTGGCAGCTTAGCAGCCCGGATGCTGACATGATAAAGTATGAAATATTAAATTTCTATGCATCCATGTGATTTTAGCTTTGATCTTCACTTTTGATTATACAGTGAATCACATCCATGTCTGTCTGGGCCTAGTGCTTCAGGGGCTGATGCTTTCCCATCATTTTAGTATTAAATACTTTATCCAGTTTAAAGGGAACCGATGGTATAAAACTTCAGCCTCGAAAAATCAACATTCACTCTGCCAACAAGGTAGGACATTGAGTAACTGAATTTCTGTTTTATGATATTTTAGGAGTTTGACCAAGACGATGACAGCCCTCATTCCTTTCTGGTTAGTGAAGAAGGAGATCCAAGCGGTGACGGACGAGATTGGCAACCCAGGACAGAAGGTATCTGGCTTCTGTCCTTGATGTGTTTACAAAGATAACATTACCTGGATTTTCCCTCTAATTTCAATATTGCTGAGTCAAGAGTTTGAAAACACAAGAGAAACACAAAGGAGGAGAAAATCCACTCATAATTCTATCCTTTGATCCATATCTGAATCAGTGAGTCTTGGCGACTTGCCCTGCAAAAATGGCCATACCTCTTCTTGTCTTCTTTTTATTCCAACCATTTCAGCTCAGCCAGCCATTCTCTGCCCCTTTTCTTTCTGTCTGATGTCTTTCCCTCCATTTCTTTGCTCTCAGAAGTTTCTGCCAGCTCCAGGGATCTGTTCTTTTCCACAACCAAGCACTTCCCCATCAGCCGTTATCCCAGAGCTCCTTCTTGAGGGGAGGAAAGGGTGGGGGGTGCTGAACAAGACACAATGCCTCCAGTCTCAGTCTTTTACTCGTAAGTCTGGAACTTTCCTGAACAGCACCCATTCCAAATATGTTCTCTTGTCAAGCCCACGAGTGGCCTTGCATTTCACACACCACAAGGTATTTGTGGATTCCCACTTAAGAAAATAGTCACCACAGCAGTCACATTTGTCCATCATCTATTGGCCTGTAAGTATCTTAAATTAAATGTTTATTTGAACTGCTCCAATTCCCCCCTGACAGTTTTCTGACTGCCATCTCCAGCACTCCCGGGAAGCTGCCCTCTCTGGGTGTCTCTTTTTCCGCATGCCTCGACCCTCCCTGAGCCTGGCAGTCCTGGCCCAGCTGTCGGCTTTGGTCCCTCAGGCAATGCCGTCCTCATCCGGGGAGCTCTGCTTTTCTCAAATTCTCCAAAACTTGTCCACGCTGAGGGCAGAGATAATTTAGTAACGTTTGAAATGATTAACACCATGAATGAACCCTGAAAGACCTACTTAAAATAAACAAATCCTGGTCCCCTTCCACACAGTCCTTGGCTTTCAAACACTTTAAAGGTGACTTCTTAGAAGCCCAACTGTATTCCAGGCACCTTCCAAGAGGTTAAATAATTTGTTTATTCTGCTCAATTTGGAGATGACTTACTAGTAATTCTTTTTAAATAAGCTGATGATATTTTAGGTTTTCATAAAGGAGTTATAAAACTTACATAATATCATCACTATGCTCTTGACTCTTGCAGTTTTAAGCTTTAATAAATTGGATTACAAATTTGAAAAAAGCAATTATGTTTCTGATAAGTTTTCCTCTCATAATTGGTAGAGTCTTCAGTTGAGCTGGTTACTCTTTTAAGTCACAAAGTCTGAGATAAAAATGCTTGGGGCATTATTGTGCATTATATTCATCTTAAATATCGATAAGTGTCTTTTAATCTCATTTACCATTAACAAATTAAAGTCATTTTTGGCTTTTTGGATATCATTTTCACCTCTTCTTGAAGAAAGTATGTTTCCAGCTATGTTTCAATGTTGCCTTTTAGTTTCTCTCTGTGATAACATTTTCTGGTAGAGTTAATTTACATATTTTTACATGGAAAGATGCACTCAGATAGGAGCGTTTTACTTTTCACATGTGGCATTGAACCATCTTCCCTGGCCCATTGGATAGGTTCAGAGGCCCCCACAACCACTCACAGTATGCCAGAGACAAAACAGAGAGCAGCTGCTTACAGAGTCAGCAGTCTTTTTCTTCCCCTCATTTAGGAACAACAATCAGGATGGGGCCATTAGCTTTTAACAGTTTACGAAAAGGCAGGTATTTCTTATACTAGCTTATTGTATCTTTGTTCCTTGGTTTGAAGAAGAAATCAGCCAATTAACAGTTCTGAAATCAACAAATAAGCAATTTTTTAGCACATTAAGTTTGCTCAAAAATATTCTGGGTTTGTTAGTCCTCAGTCAGCAAAAGTAGAGTTGTTCTTAAGAACATGTTCACACAGATATGCTCTGCACAGTTTAAATAACTTCCACAGCAAAGTTCTAATTGCGCCTAGCCTTTGTACTAGAACATCCTTTTCACTGACAGTGAAGTTATTAGGAATGTATGCTGTGTGTGTGTTTCTTTTACTCTAACATTGTCAGCTAGGTTTGTGCACTCAAGGCTGACTACAAAAATGTTGTGATAGACATCCATCTTCCTTTTAAGTATGAGAACGGCCGGGAGCATGTCAGCTCATGGCTATCAGCCTGTCTCTAAAATTCAGGGTTTGGGTCAGATGACCTCTAAGTTCCTTCCAGCTTTATAATTGCAAACCTTTCATGTTGTGCTACATAAATAGTGCAGTGGTAGGATCTTTGAAAAGTTAAAAAAAAAAATGGACTGTTCCAAGGAAACTTCATTCTTACAGATGTATTCTTGCTGCTGTATAATATTAGAAAACATGCAATCATGTTGTCTTATTTGAAAAACATCAAGCAAACCAGAGTAAGATACATTTTTGTGGTACCACAAAATATAATATCGGATGACAAAGATAGCAAATACTATTATCATTTGCCTGACTGTAAACAAAACTGTTCCTTTTGGAAATGTTTACTAATTGTTTTTAATGTATTAGTCTCATAAATAACACAGGCATAAAAATTGAGCAATAAAAATATTTTCACTCTGCTGGGCCTATGTATTTGACAAAATATCCAAAGTCTTTTAAAAACACTAACATTTTTGAGCTAATGCTCTTGATCATAGTTATTAAATAACATACCCGAGGTCACCTAAGAAGGGGCAGAGGAGAGACAGAGGCCCGGATCTGTCTGACTCACACCTAACTCTTACCTTCTCTGCTCTATGTCTTCCCCAGCATTGGCTCAGTGGAGCTCATGAAAACCATGGCTCCTGCAGGCTGTGCAGACCGAGTCAGTGGCCCTGACAAATACACGGATAGGACTGACTACTGGGACAAACACTGTGTCCTTCTGGAAGGATTCTCCTCTCTGTTCCCACACTGTTTGCACACCTCTACCACAGTGCTTACCTTGCTACATTTGCTTTCTTATTTGTCATCTCTACTAGGGCTACAGCTGCCCCTTGTGTATTTCTCTTTCTTCAGCACAGAGAGTTGGGCTTAACATATTCTAAATAAAAGTTTGGATGGAATGACAAAAATCCAATGGACAAACCTTAAAGTACGGGCAATTTGGATGTGGTTCACATTAGTTTCTTATGTGAATTTGCTTGATATGTTGTATTATAAGCAAGCATTGATTCTACAAGTTGGAACTTTCTGTCTAAAGGGATATACTGGGAATCATTCTATGGAATTAGATAGATTACCAAAAGTACTAATATGAAGCAAGTTTCCCCAGGGTAACAAAAATTATCTTACTTAAATCTCACCACAGTCCTGTGAAGTAGGTATCATTATTAGTTACACTTTACCTAAGTGGAACCTTGTTCTCTCTATCGAGGAAGAAAACACTTATTTTGACATCAGGAAAGTTTTGTTATACAATTTTTTTTTCTCTTTAAGCAAGCATTTATTAGGACCTATCATATACTGGATAGGAAAGATACAAAGATTGTTAAACCTCAGTCCCTGGTTAATTTCCATTCTGTAATCATTAAAAACAGATTAGCTAAATAACCAAAAATAACATACTTGATTCCCAGTTACCACTGGAATTCATTACTATCTTTTTCTTTCTTTTATTGTCATGCATTTCTATAGATGTTGAGATTATTGTTACTTTTCCAAGAGATGTCAGTCGTCCCCAAGAAATGAGTCAAGAAGATTTACAAGAAAACAAGTAAGGAATATTCTTTGAAAGGTTAGATTGGAATTTAAGTACTTTTGCTTGTACTTAAATTGGCAATAAATTTTTAGTAATTCAAGCCCACCCCCCACCCCCCACCTGCCCACCCCTCCACCCCCGCCTCCAAAACCACTCTAAAGAAGGGATTGTAATAAATATTCTTGTGGCAGGAACCAAATAATAAATATTTTAGGCTTTGGGGGTCATAGGCCTCTGTTGCAGTGATTCAGTTCTTCCCTTGTAACCTGAATGCGGCCATAGACAAATGGGTGTAAACAAATAGGTGTGGCGGCTAGCCAATGAAATTAAAAGAGAAGGGGAGCTAGATTTGGCCCCTGGGCTATAGTCTGTTGACCCTGAAGTAGTGCTCTTCAAAATGTAGTTCTGTGGTCTTTCCATGACCAGTCCATGGTGAAGTCAGTATAGAACTTGGAAATCTGAACATTTGAAAAATGGTATAGCAATTTGACGAAGTAATTTTATCTTCATTGGTCTGATAGTGAAACAATTGGGGCTTGTTCTCACATTTTTTATTTTCATTTCATTTTTGTAGCAACTCACTTTTATTACATTTTACAAAAGTTTCAGTCCACAATGGACTAGAGAATCTTAAAACTGGTCTTTCATCAGAGATAGTTTAAGAAGTGCTGGGCCAGTTAATGCCTTGGGAGAAGTAAAATGGTGCATCCCCTATGTCTGCCTTTTGCCCCTGTGATTTCTCTGCTCAAGGAAAGAGGGACTGGAAGTAAGTAAGGGTGGGGAGTAAGTTACAGAGAGAAGTCTTATCCTTTCAGAAATACAGCCATTCCACTCAGCACTGCCATTTGGAAATAGTTCTCCAAATTTTCTAGTGATGTCAGCCTAGTCTGAGCAGAGATCCAAAATATCTGGGGGATAGTTTTAAATCAAACCACTTCTGAATGAAATCTTGCCTTTTTCCACAACATGGATGGTCCTCAGGGGTATTAGGCTAAGTGAAATAAGCCAGGCAGAGAAAGACAAATACCATTTCACTTATATGTGGAGTCTAAAAATCAAAACAAACAAGCAAACAAAACAGAAATAGACTAAAACACAGAGAAAAGACTGGTGGTTGCCATAGGGGAGGAGGGTGAGAGGGTGGAGGAAATAGGTGAAGGTGATAAAGAGGGACAAGCTTCCAATTATAAAATAAATTAGTCATGGGAATGAAAGTAGCATAGGGAGTATGGTTAATAATATTGTAAATCTTTGTATGGTGACAGATGCTAACTACACTTACTAATGTGTGTAATCATCAAATCATATATTGTATGTCACCTATGCTTCAGTAAAAACAATCAATCAATGAATCAAACTCTTTCTACCCCTTTTAGTCAGATAACCTCAGTGCACCAAGAATGGGCAAGAGCCCATTCTGTTTCTTTTCCAAATGAAATTGAGGTGGTGGATTTCAGGACAAAGATGCTGACCACACAGCCTTTGCTTCTGAAGAAAGAGGAACATTCCAAGGAGCTCTGTGATGAGAACTTGGGCTTTTTGTTGCCAAGACCTTGCTTAGAACCAAAGGTCACCAAGTCTGCAGCCGGAGAAGACGTTCCTTACTTTCTGAAGGAGCAGCAAAGAAAATCTGAAGGTGAGTTCAATGAATGACAAAGTGATTCCTTTATTCTTCAGTCACCACCTATTTATTTACTTATCTTTTTCTCTCATGTTTGAAAATCTTTACTGTGACTCATATTTGGTTAATGTTTATCTGTGGGAATCTTGGGGGCCTACTTACACCAAGCATGCTTTCTTCTAGGATTTGATTAGCCTGAGACTTATTTACCAGATAGCAGAACTGATGCCAGCATTCCCTTTAGGCCAATGCTGTCTTTGATATTTGCCTACCACTGTCCTAAACCAATCAGCCTAAACCACCAGGGACAAGCCTGAAGTCCAGAAGGTTGCATTGACTGGCTTATTGCAATGAGGAGGATTGGGCAGCAGAAGACCTGAAAGGCATCTCACCAAAGAAAGGAAAAAGTAGCATTATTATTGTAAGATTGGAGGGAAGGGTAGCACTTAAGTGAAATTGAAATGAAGCAGTGTTTTTTAAAAACAATTAAAATTTTTTATGTGATAAAGTATACACACATACATTTACTGTTTTAACCATTTAAGCATACAGTTTAGTGGCATTAAGTGCCTTCACACTGTTGTGCAGCAATCACCACTATCCATTCCCAGAACTTTTTCATATTGCAAAACCGAAGTGCTATACCTATTAAACTATAACTCCCCATTCTCCCCTGTAGCCCCTGGTAGCCATGATTTTATTTTCTGTCTCTATGAATTTGACTATCTAGGTACTTCACAAAAGTGGAATCATACAGTATTTGTCCTTTTGTACCTGGCTTATTTCCCTTAACATGATGTTGAAGTAGTGTTTTGATAGGCTGTAAGTAAAGTTGTTAGTATCAGGTCTAGACTGTGAAGTAGACCCTGGGTCTTATTCCTTGAAGTTTACAAAGTCAGCTCCCAGCTCTCAGCAGCCCTCTTATCCTGCCACTTTTCCTCAGTATGATAAATGGTAGTACCAAATGCCTTCCATTCCCAGAACGAATACGTGAATACTTGCACATACTGTTTTTTACTGCTGTAACATTGTGCTATTCTTAAGGTTCCACCTTAGATACCACTTCCTCTGGGAAGTCCTCCTGAACCTCTCTAAGACTGATGAGTCACCATTCCTTTAAACTCCCATAGGATCCTGGCTTTATCTGCAACATAACATTCATCATGCTGAATTATCACCATTTGCTTATGTGCTTCTCCTCACCAGATTACAAAGGCAAAAACCATTGAATCTCTGAGCACTTAGCACCAGATCAGTTTATAACTATAAAAAAGTGCATATTGAATTAATAATAACAACAATAACCATATACCAAGTGCCTAGTGTTGCAAGGCATAAATGTCCACTGATATAAGTAACATTAGCATACCTGTTGTACACATGGGCAAACTGAGGTCTCAAGAGAGTAAGTGCATGCTCAGGTCAAGTAGCCACAGGGGCTGGTTTTAACCTGGACCACCTGTCTCTGATGCTGGCATGCTTTTAAGCACCATGCCATCTGTGTTCACAGTGCATACCTTCCATCTGAGGCCCACTTTAGTTATGAGGGGAAAAAAGGATGAACATATTTAGTCTTGTAGTGGAGGTGGGTTTAGATTAAAGGAGAGGCAATTGGTGCAGGTACAAGCTGGAGGAAAGATGGATGGAGACACTGAACTGGAGATGGAGGAAACATCTCTTCTCCTAGCCCAACCAAAGAGAATCTTGTTACATCTGAAGATGTACCAAAAGTAACTGTACCCAGACAAGAATAAACTTGACTAGGTCAGTGTTCTGTAATGGCAGCTGCTCTACAGGTGTTGTTATGATCTTGCCTGAAAATGTCAACTGGGGTTCCCCAGGTCAGTATTTGTTCTTCCTTTTTTAAAAAGAAAATAATTAGACAATATATGTTGTTTAAGACAAATTCAGAAAAAGCAGATGGGAAAAAAATATGAAATAAGAAGTATAAGTCACTTTTCTAGAATGCACTGTCACATTTCTAAATAACATGTGCACTGTCACATTTCTAAATAACATGTTTATAATACTATTGCTTGATTGTTCAGTTTTGACCTTATCTATTAGGATTTAACACTTCTACATTATTCTCCTTACACACAGGTAATCCCCAATCTTCTCAATCTTTGTGTTAAAAATTTTTTTTTAATCTCCATTATTATGACTAGGTAACATATTCACAGTTGAGCTATATAGTGTGCTATGATTACACTAGATATTTATGCAATGTATACATTGTATTATTGTATCATTGTTTATAGATGCCTCATTTCATCATCTGCTTACTTTCTATATCTGTCCCTAATTCATCCCCATTCTGTCTGATGGGCCTGTAACATGCTCCTCAATTCAGGCTGTCTTTCTGGGATTCTCTCATCACCGTCCGGGAGTTCCCTTGGCCTCCCGCTGTCTTGGGCCTCTGTGTACTGGACCCATGGCATCCTCTTTGTTGTGTTACTTTCTCATTTCAGTGGAGTACATTTTCCAGGAGCTTCCTGAGGAAGGGTGCATGAAGTATATCAACGGGTTGTTTTTCATTGTCTCTATTTCCTTTGAACTCTTTTCTTTCTTTCACTTGGCTTTGTTCTCTGTATTTTTACAGAGAGGGTTTCCTCCTGTATCAGTTGATCCCTGACCTCATGTATCAGTTGATCCAGTGCTGGGTGCCCAGGGGGCTTGTTGAATGGGCAAAGACCTGGACGGTTGGGAGAGGGATTTACTGAGTGTCAGGGTGCACAGCTGGGCTTTTCCCTCAGCTAGTTCCCTAGAGACCAGTCATCCAAGCCCCCGCCTGTAGGTTAAGGCTATTAGTGTGCAGGCTTTCACTTTATCCTTGTATTTTCACTCCAGCACCTCATTTCTGCTCTCTGCTGTTCCTAACTCCTTTGCATCTTTGCTTCAAGCTCTCCAGAGAGTGTGCTTTCCACCATCTGCCATGAACAGAGAAGAGCAACTCCTGACGAGGAGGCAGGGCAGAGAATTTAGAACCTACTCCTCACAGGGACTTACAAGCAACCCTTTGTTTCAGCCTCACCTGCATCCCCACCTTCAGAGGAAGCAGGCACTGGCCATTCCCGCTCCTTCCTGGGGCTCTTCTTTCTCCTTGCGTTCTCCCCCTGCAGGCACTGAGCAGAACAGAGAAAGCTGTGAATGGATCAGTTGTTACTCATCCATAGTTCTCACTGTCCAAAATGTTGATGCGGTTGCTTATCTGCTGTTTTATCCTCTGGGTTGTTGTCCTTATTTTCAGGTTTAGAAAGTTCCTTTATGTCATTTTAGTGAGGTTTGTGAAGAGAGTGGAGAAAAATTTGCCCATTCAGTCTTTTAGCTGGAAGTATGTAAAAGGCTCTCAACATGTATTGCCAAATCATCTACCAGACAGATCTTACCTCCACATTCTCACCAGGAAAATTTAGGTATTTTCTGCCTCATGTTATTCCTTACAGACACTGGATAATATTCAGCTCCATGTTTATAATAATACCTGAAAGTTTTTGTTTTTGTTGTTTTAAACTCAGGACATCATACACATGCACCCAACTATAAATTATATTCAGTTGTATTTCTGGTATTGTAGTGTCTTTTCAACAGGAAATTTCAACCTCCAGAACATGACCTCTATGAGGGCAAGCATTTTGTCTTGTTCACAACTATACTGCTATCTTCTGGGATAGTATCAGCCACGCAGCAGGCACTCAATAAATATTTGTTGAATAAATGCATAAAGGATTGGGGGGAGGCGCCTTGGCCAGCTGTGGCTAAGGAATGCCTGTGCCCCCTGTTACTGGGATCCTCATCTTGGGTGACCATTTTTCACCTGAAAATGGCTTTTTTTTACCTGTGTTACATCTTAGAGAGGCAGGTTTCTAAGTGATATTTTGAAATAGCAGCTTGTGTCTAAAATAGACCCATGGACACATTTTGTTTGGCCTTCAGAGCATTTTAAAAAAAGGGAGAGCAGGAGGGAGATTTCACATCAAGTCTCTGGCTCTCTGACTTCTCTAGACAATTAGAAGATCTAGAAGTGCTGGACTGGACATCTGGAATGGACGTCAATTGGAACTGGGTAATGGGTGTCCCTTTAGTTGGGGCATATGTTTTCAGTTCACCACTGTCCCTACCTGTCCCACTTATCCATTTACATGACCTGCTTTGATCCTTGACACATTGGTGCTTACAGCTTCCGCTCCAAGCTCTGGTGGTGAGTGAGCTTTTAGGGAACATTCTGACTTTTTGGTAAGAAGACAACTTGGTTTTACTCTACCTACTAAATCCCATCTCCCCTTTCCCCGTATCTCCCCTTCAGAATTTCTGATCTATCTCATGTTTGAGTTCAAGCAACTGTGGGGAGGCAATTATACATCCATGAATATTTTTGTATTTCTGCATGGTTCAGGCTTTCTGAGCAAAAAGCACTAGGAATCTAGGCTAGAAGATGATTGAATGATAAACATGTCTTGAAAATGAGAGACAATGTATTGCTTCAGAGAGTTTCAGAGGCTTATTTCCCCAGGAGCTGTTCACGTATACCATGGCAATAAAGCCCATTTCATTTCATATCCTGGATTACACTTGGAAAAACTTCTAATATGACTTTTCCTCAAATCTCAGCACCAAGATCACTCCATCCCCAAATTCTTGCTCAAGACTGACTGTGTTCACTCTACTACTAAGAATATCTAACTATTATTATTTTTTTCGTGCTATAGAGTTTTCTTCCTCTGATGTGAAGAACAGTAGTCGAAGAATAGAGGTAAGATTAGTTTTAGCATTTTTGACTTCGGAATTACAACTAAAAAACTTTCATCATTAGAGACAAATTGTATCAGAGAACTCAGAACCAAAATCCTCAGTAATTATACCTGGAAAAACAACAACTGACGTATAGTTTATATAGCAGCAAATTACTTCTTGGAAAATTATACCTTGCCATGTACATTTCTTTTCTGGGTTTTCCTGTTCTTTACATAATGAGGTAAGCATCTCTTCTAGACGTATTTTGTCTTCTTGTAACATATCTAGAAATTAGGTAATTCTTTTTTCCAGTAGTGGTAAGATTTTTCTAGTTATCTAACTTATAAGTAAGGAATTTGGAAAGATCCTTGCAATTATCTCAACTGTCTGACTCTTCTATATTCTATAAGCCTTTGGGAAAATGCGTTAAGTACTGACAAGTATCATAAAAAAGAGTATCATAAAATTTAAGCTCTGGGAGAATCTGTCTGTATTTTGTAAGTTATTTTTGAGAGATGGAGGAAAGTCATCTCAGCAGTAAAAGTGGGGGATTCCACTGCAGCTCACCTGTTTTTTACACCTGTGTTTTTAGTGTCAGGTTCCTTTCTTTGTCCTTTCTTCTTACACACAGGTGGCAATAGAATGAAAATTAAACATATAGTTTTCAATTATGAGAGCTCATGTTCCATAATCAGTTTCTATAAATACTCTGATGTAGTTAGGTATCACATCTGTATACACAGGAAAATGCCACAAGGAAAACAAGCAGTAAATTGGAGTTCATAGCTTAATGACCAGAAAGTGAAATTTTATATATTGGGTTACACCGACCTCTAGTGGATAATAATAATAACAACAGGCTAAATTTGAAAATAGTTGGGGAGGGCAAAGGAGAATTAAAAACCATTCAGGATTGGTAACTTTCAAGTGTATGGTGTGGCACATATATAAGCCACCCCCAACAAAACAGTTCAGCAAAACAATAAGAAACAATTCTGTTCTGGATACAAGTTCTAAGTTACTCTATAACCTAATGATCGTTGTTAAAGTAAATGTAACTAATTTTAAGCAGTCTTAAGTGGGAATTTTTAGAATCTTAGATCAATTCTATGAAAACTAAAAAGGGAAATACAATGTTTTATCTTAAAATGTCTAATGTTTACAGTATAGGGACTTTGTTTAAATATATAATCATGAATCTTTAAGATAATCTTGGGTTTTAAAAGTATTATTTTACCTTGGTTCTAAAAAGAAAAGTATCATTGGGAATGAGCTTTAGTTTTTAAAATGTGATCTCTGGGATGGTTTGTACTTTAAAGGCCTTCCTAGGAAGAATTTTAGAATCTTTTCAGGTTACTTCAAACGAGTTACTGTGGCACGCATATATGTTTCTACATTAATTAGCTGTTTCTCTTTCCTTTTAGTTTCTTCTTCCACCATTGCCACTCTTGCCCATGAGATCTGGTCTCCTAACTATCCCCCCAAATGACAAAGATCTAAAAGAGAGAGAAAGGAATATTCCAAGCCTTATATCCTCTACACCTAGGCTCCTAGAGCCTGTTAGTCGATGTGATGAGCTTAGACCATCAAACAAGCATCAGGACACCCCGCGGAAAGTGTGTGTGGATCAAACTCTCCCATCTTCTGATAGCTCTATTTGGTCCAGAAACATGTACTCTTTTTGGAAGTCTAACCATCACCGACAACACCCGGAGATGGGGGAGCATAGGAAATCCAAGGAAACAGAAGGATGTGACAAATTGGAAATGTCACACTCTGAAAAGGGGCACTCTTTGGTGTCCTTTGAGAGCTTTAAAGAAGGCGGTTTTCCTATGGTTAGGCAAGTGGATATTGACTGCCATGCTAGTGAGATGAGAAAAACAGAAGAGAACTCTCAATATCTTTCATCAGGGAAAAGAGAGGGTTCAGTGGCCAGAAACTATGAACAAGATTCAGAAGTTGGATGTACTGTGCCAATCAAATTCCAAGCAGCATGGCATTCAGAAAGAACTCCAAGGCAGGATGAGGAGACTAGACATGATAGTGCTGATTCAAAAAGTGCTTCAGTACATAAAGGTGAAGCAATTGAGCCAAATTATATTTTAGAAGAGTATACTACACTTAAAAGCTTGTCCAACATAATCCCCGATGGCCCCATTGAAAAGCTCCCAGAAGGTCAGCACAGCACAAAGACAAACATAAAAATATCAGTAACAGAGGCAAACAAGCCAGAAATAAATGGAATGGTGCCTCTTATCCACATCACTTTCCCTGGAGACAGAATTCCCAAGGAACAAGCAATAGCCAAACCAAGCCTCCAAAAAAGAAATGGTGTCCTGCATAACAACAGTAGCTTCAACATACTTGCACACCAAGAAAATGACAGGCATAAGGTGAAAATTCAGAGAAATAAGTTGGATTCAAAGACCAAAACCAGCAACAGGACACCCCAGAACTTCATGATTCCCACTGAAGTTTCTATTAAAACTACCATGCATACAACCAGCCTCAAAACTCAGGTTTTCCCTTCTTTGGGGCTTACTGACCCCAGACCTCAGCAATCACCCAAGTTCCAAAGGAGAATGCCACAAATAGAAAAGAAACCATCAACTTACCGGGCTCTAAAACCTCAACAGCAATCATTTCCTTGCATCTGTAAAAATCCAGGAATAAAAAAGTCTTCTGTTCCTCTCTCTGTTCAACCAACAGAGCCAAGACTCAATTACCTAGATCTTAAGTATAGTGACATGTTCAAAGAAATCAATTCAACTGCTAATGGACCTGGAATCTATGAAATGTTTGGGACTCCTGTTTATTGTCACATTCGAGAGTCTGAACAGCATGAAAACAAATATTACCGAGAGATATGCTCAGCTCCATCAGGCAGATGTATTGCCAGTAAATGCCAGTCTTCACACAGTGAGAGAAGCAGCAATGGCAGAACAAGACTTTCTCAGAAAAGACCACATGCTAAACCACCAAAGACTTCACTTGCCATTAAACAAAAGCACAAAACTTTAATTTCTAAAGAAAAGGGGTGCAAGGCTGTAAGCAGCAACCTACAAGACATTGAAAATGGTGATGGTATTTCAGAACCAGAGTGGCAGATAAAGTCTTCAGGAAATGACTTTCTATCTTCCGAAGATGAAGTTCAGCCTATGAACTTGGCTCAGACTCATGAACAGTCCTCTGAGCAGAACAAATTCCTGCCTGTCTCAGATTTGTCCATCGTTGAAGAAGTCTCCATGGAAGAGTCTGCTGATGAAGGGGACATTTCCAACAATCAAATACTTGCCACAAGCCTCAGAGATCTGCATGAACTTGAAGAGCTACATCACCAGACCCCATCTGTCCTCTCAGAAAACAGCTGGGCAGTACCCAGTGAGAAGAATTCCCACAACCCTTTACAGCAGGAAAAGCAGAAAACAGCATTGTTTGGTAAAATAAATGACAACCAAATTTTAACTAATGATGTAGAATTTGATAGTGTTTCAGATAAATCTAAAACACTTATGAGATTCTCTTTCCAAGAGAAACAATCAAGTGCATCATCCCAGGCATATCAACATTGGGTACGTTCTTTGGATCATGATAGTTTAGCTAGTAATCCAATTACATATCAAATGTTTGGGAAAACTTTAAATGACGAAAATTCAACTTCCCAAGAAACTCTCGACTCTCTAAACAATGAAGAATTGACAGATGAGCTATTAGGTTGTCTAGCTGCAGAACTACTAGCTCTGGAGGAGAAAGATAACGACTCTTGCCAAATAATGGCAAGTGAAACTGATCCTGAAAACTCAAATCTTGTCCTCAGAGGGAACACCATGCAAGAATTGGGCCAAGAGACCACAAATGTCAAAATACAGGTTGGTATAATTAGAATCAGAGATTCATTGGGGGTGAGAAGGGACCTCAGAGATAATCTGGTTGAAAACCCTCATTTTCAAATGAGGAATCCATCTAAACAGCTCATTTCATCAATTGTTTGCTTGCACGTTTGGAATCTAGGTCCCCTGACTCTCAGGCTAAGACACTTCCGTTATGCTGCCCTACTTTTGGAATTTAGCTTGCCTGACACTGCAATGACACTTTGGGTAGCTGAATATAGAAAAACTGTTTAAGTAGATGGATATTTTATTCAGTAACGATGTGTTCAATCAACAAACTTCAGCAGAGAGATGATTATGGGTAAAGGATTGCTTTAGGGGATGTGTGATATAGAAAGAAGTTAACATAGCCCCTAAAGTAGCTCACCATATAATTCCATAAAAAAGCATGAAGACTCAAAATGATCATTTCCCAAAGATTCCCTGTATCTGAGCATTTGCTCTCAGATGGTTCACTACCTTAACAAAATATATTATTACTGATGCCTACTGTGTTTCTGGCACTAGGCGCAGAGCTAGAGACATGGTGGGTACAAGGATTAGCCATTGCTCTCAAGGAAGCATAAGGAACGATCCTGAAAAAATTTGTTTTTTAATTTGTTTGGCATGGGGGTGGGAATGGTGAAAAAGAATACCAGTGGTTGCTTGGGTTTTACTTGTTTTACTTCTACTGATATACATAAGTCTCCTATTCTACTCAGATATTAAAGACAGAAACAGTAGGTTTAGCTGAAATATTATTTATTCAACCCTAACTCAGGTTATATCACATGATAAGAGGATCAGGAATAATTATTTTGAATAGTTAATCAGAAGAATACACAAAGTGAATATTATATCATAGCTAGGTTTATTGAGAACTTACCATGTATGAGTGAGATGCATCCTTTATATGTTTCACAATAACTCTAGGAAAGAAGTGCTAAAGGTAACAAGTCCCCATTTTTTCAGATGGGGAAATTGAGGATTGGAAAGTCATCCAGTTAGTGAGTGATGGACCAGACATTCTGATTCGAGCCCCATACCCTTTATCACTACACAGTGGGTATATTCCTTCCTAAAAGGCCAGCTTTGCCCTCATTTTGAACTTGGTCTCTGCTGGAAGGTGGATATTCAGAGGCCTCCAGGACTGAGGGGGGAGACAGATATGTGTGTGTGCAATCCAGTGCATCTGAGATGCATCTACCACTCTGCCATTTCAAATTCAAGAAAAGCTAATAAGCTTGTAAATAGAATCAGCCTGCAACTCCACTCTGCAGTCATGGAGCCAAACACTAACCTTTTGTGACCTTTTCTTTTCCAAGCAGTCCTTAAATTTGTTTGGATAGAAAGAGGAGTGGATGGCCTAAGTTCTACAAAGAGACACTTGATTCCTGATTTCTAAGGCAAGGCCGCTGAAGGTTTACTGTGAATGCAAATCTCTTAGGGATCACGTTAAAATGTAGACACCGATTCAGTATATCTGGGGTCTGAGATTCTGCATGTCTAACAAGCTCCCATGTGATGTGAATCTGGTCTGCAGATTCTCTGTTGAATTACAAGGGTCTAGAGGATCATTGATCTTCAGTCTATTGCAGCTGGTCTTGACCCGCAGACTTGCTTGTTATGGCTGTGTGTGTGTGTGAGAGAGAGAGGGGGGCAGGGGGGAGGGAGAATCTATCTGCATGTATGTTTGTGGGTAAATGCATATGTGTATGTAAGTGTATACATACATGCTTATGTGTATATGTGTGTGTTTGAGTGTATGTGTACATTGTGGAAATAAATGAAGAACAGGCAAAGGCTACTTATTCAGAGCTCCCTATAGCAAAGGAGTCAGACGTTATCACTTGTGTTTGGCAGAGACTCAAAGGCAGGCAGAGGAGTAGGTACTTTTTAGCGGAAAAAAGGGAAGTCTTCAGTTATGACCTGACTGGAGGCTGTTGGCATGGGGAAGCTGTAGGTGGGTTAACTAGAAGGGTCCTCCTATATGATTAGTTAGGGGTCCTAAGTTAGAAGAAAGGAAGACTATTCTATTCTACACTTGATCTCCATCTCAATGACTGAGAGTTTAATGGTGATTTTCCTTTTATCCCATTCTTTCAGAGATATAGTAATGGTTTCAGGATATATGACAAGGAAGAGAAACTTCTCAACTCAAATGAAAAAAAGACATTTTCTGAAAATAGTTTGAAGTATGAAGAACCTATCCTGTGGACCAAGGGCGAGGTCCTTGGGAAAGGAGCCTATGGCACGGTAAGTTAAATGGAGAAACATGATGAAACTAAAAATCCCCACTCCTTCTCGACCCCACCCGTTCCCCTAATCCTCTGGTGCAGCTTCCCCACCCTCCATACTCTTTACCTAGAGCTCTTTCAATTGGAAGTAACAAGAAACCCAACCCAAACTGGCTTGAGAAAAAGGGTGTCACTATTTCATGTAACTGAAGGGTCTGGAGTAGGTCTGGCTCTAGGCAGAGGTGGTTTCAAAAATGTTGCCAGGTCTGGCCTCCCTCTGTCTCCTCCTGGCTCTCCTGCTCAGGGTCCATGTGGTGGGACAATGGACATCATCCTTACAGCCTCTCATTCTCCCAGGTCCAAGTCCGATGGAGGGAGCAGTGTCTATGTCCAACAGCTCAAACTACATTACCAGAAGTCGGGAGACTCATTGCTGAGTGGCAAAAACAAAAGATGTCCCTTATATTTGGTGGATTGCATAAAGACCACCCAAAAAAGTCCTAGCACTTTAGTTATTATTCATTTAGACCAGTAAAGATAAGACTGACCCCCAGATAAGACTTTATGTTTCAAGCTGAGACATTTCAGGAATCAGTGAGAAGGTGGGAGGCAAGACCCGAAACCACTGAAATCGCATGATGGAGGTGACTGCCCAGTTGCCCCAGGACCTGCCTTCCACTCTCTCCTTAGAGCCTCAGCACTAAAATAGCCCTATTTCATTTATTTGGTGAGGAGCTTTCCCAAACCATCTCATGTAATAATCATAAATATCTGTGAAGTAATTATTGTTACCTTAGTTTTATAGGTTAGAAAAACTTAATTCGAAAAGGTTATTCAACTTACCCAAAGGTACACAGCTGAGGGATGGTAAAGCCAGGATTCTAACTATTCCAGTCAGTTAACGCCAAGCCATTATGATATCCACTCACTTTGCTGCTCATCCTCGTCTAGGGTCCACTGAAAAACTGAACTTGCTTAAGTACTTTGCGTTTAGAAAGGGTGCATCAAATGAGAGAAAGACAAGGGTTTGGGAGGCAGAGGGAAAGACGAGCGTCACATGAGGCCTCTGTCAATGTGTTATATATCATTTATATTTAATAGTAATGTATTGGTTGGCTTCTAGGTATATTGCGGCCTGACTAGCCAAGGGCAGCTAATAGCTGTGAAACAGGTGGCTTTGGACACCTCTGATAAGTCGGCCACTGAAAAAGAATACCGGAAACTGCAGGAGGAAGTAGATTTGCTCAAAGCACTGAAACATGTCAACATTGTGGCCTATTTGGGGACATGCTTGGAGGAGAACATTGTAAGCATTTTCATGGAATTTGTTCCTGGTGGCTCAATCTCTAGTATTATAAACCGTTTTGGGCCATTGCCTGAGATGGTGTTCTGTAAATATACAAAACAAATTCTGCAAGGTGTTGCTTATCTCCATGAGAACTGTGTGGTGCATCGAGATATCAAAGGAAATAACCTTATGCTCATGCCAACTGGAGTAATAAAGCTGATTGATTTTGGCTGTGCCAAGCGTTTGGCCTGGGCTGGCTTAAATGGCACCCACAGTGACATGCTTAAGTCCATGCACGGGACTCCATACTGGATGGCCCCAGAAGTCATCAACGAGTCTGGCTATGGAAGGAAGTCGGACATCTGGAGCATTGGCTGTACTGTGTTTGAGATGGCCACGGGGAAGCCTCCGCTGGCTTCCATGGACAGGATGGCAGCCATGTTTTACATTGGAGCACACCGAGGGCTGATGCCTCCTCTACCAGAACACTTCTCAGAAAATGCAGCAGACTTCGTGCGTATGTGCCTAACCAGGTAAGAAACTGAAAACGGGAGAAGATTCCAAGCAGCTGCCATTTCCCCTGCAATTTGACCCATTAAAATCTCTGCTTGGGGTATGAAATCAAGTAGGGAGTGATTTTGTGCTAAAGGGAATCATGATTAGCTGTGTACTGGGTGATTGTGTTCCTTGTTCTATCAGGGTGTAGGGGGTAATGTGTTGAGTAGGAAGTGTTTCAGTTTAATGTCTTATCATGTCCAGACAATACTCCCCCAAATCAGTGGGTGTGCAAAAATTGCTAAAGATCTGCTTATTTACCTATGGGACATGGTCCCCAGGGACTGGTCACAGTGAAATGATGTCACCTCTTCTAAGCTACCTTCCCTCTCAGGGAACCAGTGCTCTCATTTTCTTCCTAAAACCAGTTCTCAGGAAAGTACATGAGGGATTGATATGAACTGACTGGCGACTGACAGATTTAATGTACTGGTTTCCCCAGAAATACTTGCCTTTAAACTGAGGGGAAACATTTTGAGCCAAAGGAACAAATCTCTAATTGGAGCCTTTCAAGTATCAGGTGGGGGAGCACTTGTGGAAGCAGAAAAGCCCAGAAAGTTGCCTGTTTTCTCCTGTCCTGATGCCCCCTAGTATCTATGGAATAAAATTCTGGGTAAAACGTTCAAACTGTAAGGCACCTTAGAGATTACTCACTTTTGTGATTTTCAAACTGTTCTTGGCCAGGCACTCTCAGCTCATATGAAATCTTAATTCAAAGAATAAAACACAAAAGCAGAGATTGGTTCTGATGTGTCTGTGTGTACGGTGTGGGGAGCTACAAAGTAGGGTAGGGTTGCTGGACCCTACCCACCTGGCCTCTAGGACGATGCAGAACAGTGTAAAATCTCCCCACTTAGTGAGGCTCAACATTTTCACATGTACAGGATGAGGAAGGCCTGAGACCCAAACACATCTTACTTTTCAAGGAAGTATGTTTTCTCATTTCTAGATGAAAAATTCTGGTGCCCATCTTTCAGTAAGCATGTATGGCAACCTCCAACTCCTAGAAGAGGTTCATCTTTCTTAATGAACCTCAGAACTCAGTTCTTCCTGTCTGCTGATGAATGCACCTCTGTCTGAGCTGTCTCCCTCTCCCAGAACATGGACAGTCACCTGTCCTGGGTGATTTGCCTGTCCAGGGGATCATGTAGGCCTGGGTGGGAGTACATACTAAAGGGGTGCAGTTCTGGGCATCCCTGAATGCAGACACTGAATGTGTTCCAGCTTGGATGTTGTAGACAAAGCTTAGGAGCAGAGCTTCCCCTTCTTCCTCCAATAAAACCTTACAAAAGGGACATAAAGATGTTAAGAATATCATATGAAGGAGTATTAGTTTTAGAGATTGGTCTTAATTCTTAAAGCTACTATAGTTGCTTTGTTCTAAACTGAACAATTATCTATTACTGATCCACAGAAACTACTGGCTGTTCTCATTTTCTTTCAAAATGTCCTTTCTCTCTCTCTCTCTCTCTCTTTCACACACACACACACACACACACAACACAGCTTTAAGGAGAAAGAGTGGAATCTTTTTCAATAGCTCTCCTTTTGAACCATTGTTTCATAAACTAAGCAATACACAGCTCACACCACTCATAATTAACAGAGTTGTTGTGAAGGTTAAGTAAAATCATGTATGTAAATTGGTTAGCAGAGAATAGGGCACATAATTAGGACTCCACAGTTAATAACTGGGAGAATACTAATACACCTCACCTAATTAGTGTTATATACAAGCATATAATTAATTACCCCCCAAAAATGCTGTGGCAAAGACCATAAGAACACTAGAATCTCACCTTATGTCTGTGACAATATTCCTTGGAGGTGTAGAAAGTCATAAAAAGAGGGGTAAAGGATTCATAAAAACTCAGAAGGATCAAGTATAGACTAGGGACAAGGACTGAATAGAACAGAAATGAATTTGGGGAAACAGTAAGAAGCATGGGTGGGGGTACTCCTACGGGCAGGCTGAAAGTTCTGGGAAGTCAGGCTAAGTAGAGTTAAGCTATGTTGCAATAGGCAGTGAAGAGCAGAGGGGACTGCAAAAGTTCTGGGGTAGAGAATGCCATTAAGAAAAAGGTCTTTGGGAAAGCAGATAGCAGTTTTGTTGAAGGACCTTGAATGGATGGAGGCTGTTTGAAACTAGGCCATGTGGGAATCCAGAGCTTGGACTTTGCTGGTGGTGGAAGCATCTGGATTGTAAAAAGATTCCAAATGTTTCAGAGGAAGGTGACTCAGGACTTAGTGATGGATGATAGTAGCATTTCGGAGTTTTGAGTCTGGCTAATAGAAGAAACAATAGAAGTTACGAAGGAGGGAGAGATTGCAGAGGGTTCCCTTCATCTAAGGATATGTTTGAAGCCATGGAATGGAGCTTAGGAAAGCAATTAGAATTGGAAGTCATATTTGAAAACCGTAAGATTGGTAACTATAGTGAAAAAATGAGAGGGAATTGTTTTTGAAAAAGCTCATGGGAGAAGATACGCATAGCATCAATGTATGCATAGTATCAAGAGTAGCACCTAACAGGAACAAAGTAAGGCAGGCAGGACAGGAGGAAGGAGGAGGGAGGGGAGTTGCCCCAGTGTGGGAGAACCGTAAGTTTCTCGTGAATTTAAGTAGGTTTAAGAAAGGAGGGGGCAGAAGGGGACTGAGAGGTATTATGTTTAGTACACATGATGGGGGGAATCACAGAGAGAACAGTGTAGCACAGAGAAGGCTCATAGTGAATCTGTGGCATCTTACTACACTGATAGACAGTGATTGCATTGGGGTATGGGTGGGGACTTGACAATATGGGTGAATGTAGTAACCACATTATTTTTTCATGTGAAACCTTCGTAAGTGTATATCAATCATACCTTAATAAAAAAAAGAGGGAGCAGTGAATACTTGAAATGCTACAGAGCTGACGAAGAGAAGGGGCTCCTAAATTTGGTAATGAGGTCATGGTTAATTTTAAGAGGACAATTTCTATAGAGAGAGCAGTGGGCTCAATGGAAAGGATTTAGGACAATTAATCTTGAAAGTCACTGGGTTTAGCAGAGAAATTAGTATAAATGATACCCCAAACTAACTGAACAAAAATACAAAATTGGCAGTAATAGAATAGGATGGCAGAAATAGTGGCCAGGTTAAGGAAAGAAATTTTAGAGAGATTTTCTGTATTTCCTGAAAGTAGGAGAAAAAGCCTCCAGAGGGGGAGAGGTTTTTTATTTTGAAATGATTCATGGTCACTTTCTTTTTAAAGTATTTTATTTTTATTTGCATTTTTCATGTAGGCTACTCTTGGGGGTCATCTGCTTCCACAATTATCAAAAGATAGCCAGTTTAACCCAAAGAATGCCTTTGGAATTGGTTATGGCAGGTAACTACTGATTGGCCCATTAGTTCACTAATTCATTGGCCAAAGCTTTTTGATTTTTTTTAAAGGTCTATATTTTTAATTGTCAATTATTTTATGCATAACAACTTGGAATAACAAATTCACTCATACTGTTAAAACACATGAATTTCAAAATCTAGTAGCGTCAGTAGATTTAATTTTAGTAAATGTTATCTAACATCTCTTCTATTCTTCATTAGGATGATGAGTATAGCTTGTTAGTCCTTCTGCAGAAATATTTGGTTTTCATCACCTTGAAAATGACCCCCAAATTACATGAGGCTACTGTTAAAAATGCACATGTCTTACTGCCTCCTCAGTCTTTCTGAATCATAAATGCTCAGGGGGCATATCAGCCATATATATATTATTTTTAGTAATATCTTTCTGTAGTTGTTTTCTCACTATTTCCAAGCCTTTAGTGCCCCCTCTGCAGAGCCCAGACTTCTCTGTTCATTTGCCCTCAAGTCCATATACTACGTAAGAATAGGATTAGAATTTTGTCTATTCATCCAGTTGTTCATTCAACACAAATAGGTGACATGTAATTGTGGGCACTGTGCCAAATTCTGGACATGTGATCAAATGAACATCCCAGCTCTTGGAGTGAGGGTCTTATGCATTAGGACAGAAGGGCATTAATGAACTATTTTGGTAACTTAATATGATCTATATAGGTGAATATAAAGCTTTTTGATTTTTTGAGGGAAAAAAACCCTCCACCACAATAGTGCTAGTTGAGTAATTTTCTCTTTTTACTCTGTGCTCATCCAAGAGTGTCCCAAAGTGGAATTATCTCAGTCACCAAAGCACATTTAAATGTCTGCCTCTTTAAGGATTCCAGTTATGGATTCCAATGCCTCTTAAACGTAAATTTAACGCTAATTAAAAGTGCATTAAACTGTATACCTGAAAGTGTGAATTCTGTGTATAAATTATACCCCGAACTAACTGAACAAAAATACTTGGAAAAGTAGGGCCTGTTCTTCACCATAACAGCTACTACTTTTCAAACTATTACTATGTACCAGACATGGTATAAAAGCTGTATATACACTACTTAATTCTCCCAGTGAGTTAGGTGTTATGGTGATGAGGAAAAGTTTTGAGTCACTTGCCCAAGATGACACAGCTAAATACTGGAATCTGGACTCAGTGCAAATCTGTTTGCCTGGCAGAGATTGAGACAAGATCTAGTTGACAGCTCATTATTGGGTGTGTTTTTAATGTGTTTTACCTTCTTTAGGGACCAGCATGAACGACCTTCTGCTGTTCAGCTCCTGAAGCATTCCTTCTTGAAGAGAAGCCACTGAATATACATCAAGACTTCTTTCCAGTTCCATTAGATACTCTATTATTGCTCATTGTGGGATGATGGTTAAGGGACCTTTGTTTTCCTACTGGAAATTCAACTAACCCAATATAACCTGACCCTGAGTCTCTAACAAGTTTTAGTTATATTTTAGCCTCCTCAAGCTTCAGGCATGATTACCCATATATGAAAAATTTTTCTTGAGCCTGAACAATAAAAAACCTATTCCAGTGTTTGCAGTTTGACTCTGCAGGAACTACATCTATTGCTTTATACAATAATTCCTTTCATTTTGGCCTGTCAATTTTATTGTCATTAAATTGTAAAAACAAGAAAAATTGTATTTTCTTGCTTGGCAGGTAGACACCTATTTAATTCTTGCAAAGGAGACTAGAGGAAAGTGAGAAGTTAAATGTAGAGAGGTTACATTCTGTTCACTTTGGTGGCAATTTTACCTTTGCAGACTACAGGAGCCTCAAGGTTAACAAGAGCTAAGGTCCCCTAACTCAGAAGTCTTCACCTACAAGAAACTGGGCTATTCAAGGTGGCTCCATAAAACCTCAGGCTGCTTTCCCTGTAATTTATAGTACGACTTGAGGTCTTCACTTGTTTGCAGAGTGAATTAGGTCATTATCATATCCAGAACTAGCTAAACCTAACCCAGTGGGTGGGATGAAAACTAGGTCTGATAGAGTGGGGTCAGCATCTAAACTTTTTCAGGGCACTTTGCTCACCTGGATGAAATACTTCTTGCTGAGATCACTCTTCACTTTAATTTCCAGAACATAGGTAACTTCACAAAAATGAACATGGATAAGTTGTTAGGATCACTACAAGGCCTTGTTATAAGTTGCTGCATTATGCATTTTTGGTAAGGTTTCTATTGCTGAGACTCCACTCACCTCCTAAACTTCACTGACACCTGTTGTTTTAAGCTCTATCTACAGATTCTTTGTACTGGCTGGTATAATTTCAAGGTGGCACTACTACAAACTTTAGGTGTCCTAACAGTTGTCAGGCCTTGTCGGAATCAAGCTGCTGCTTCAAAAAGTTTTTGAGAAATCCATTTGAAATTCAAGTCAGCTGACACAAAACAGATTTTACTTTGACCAACATGTTTTCATAGGTTTTTATGAATGTACCTTCCTCCTCTCCCAATTTGCACAGTTCCTGTATTTGATAAAAATTTAGGGTATGTCTCCATTATTTTACTTAGTATTATTATAATCAATATATATAATCTGAAACATAATTTTGTTATGGTAGGGTTCAACTGCAGTAGGGATCTTCAGCATTCTTTAAAATCTGGTTATATCTGATTTCAGAGCAATTAACTGTTAACTTTCAAGCCTATAAAATCCTATACATTCATTTACATTCAAGCCTAAAAAACTTCAAGGCCATCCAACTGGTGGATGGGAGTTGGGATTCCCACCGATACGTCTCACCTTAATGCCCTTTCCCTCCTGCTTCCCACATTTGTCAAGTTACATGAAATCAGTTGCATCACTTGTTTTACTCAAACACAACTCCACTGAGATGCTGATAAACTTACCAGTTTAGTGAATGATTCTGATTCCTTTAATGATGTGAGCAGCTTTTCATTTCTCACCTACCTAGCAGCAATATTGCCTGCCCTCTGTGACCAACTCCCTCACCAGGCACAATGCCCTGCTTTTAATCATTTTCAAAAGTGCATTTCCTTACATACTGAATCTTTCTGTAGGATCTGGGATCCCAAGCTCAACTAAAGGAAATTTAAATCCTCCCCCAAATCCTAAAAATACAGTTCTAACTCTATTGCATCTCTTTAACATCAACCTACTTTAGCACTTACACTTGGAACATTTCTCAGTGGCTGAATTAGGAAGAGTTGCCATAGAGGAAAAGATGGCATCGGGGAGTGTAGTATTCCATTTATTTGTTTTACCCACTCCCTCCGACATATCCACTAGCAGTCTTGGGCCTTCCAATAGTGTAATGAATAGCACCAAGATAAAAGCCCATTTAACATGCCCAGTGAGCAGTCAAGAGCCTCTATTCCCTACCAGGCTGTCTTTATTCCTCATACCTGACACATTTCAAAGTATTATTTCAGTTTAAAGCAGCTAATGTAGAAACTTGAATTTAAAAAGGCTTTTCAGGGGATTCTGTCAGCATTACATACTCAGCATAGACAGTCTTAATCTTCATTGGTAATCAACGAACTTAAGAAATCTTCATGTATGGCACTGTACTTTGAAAAGTTGAAAACAAACAATCCTGAGGAAAAGCTATAGTAACTTTATCCAATTGCCATGACCTCTCATGGCTTAGTGTGAAAGCCATGGCTGAATTCATCCCTAAATGCTGCTCCTACAGATTGTGACTTGAAAGACTGACTGATCTTGGGTATATGCCTGAACACTTTTTAGGTCTAAATAAGCCTTCTAATTTCAATTGCAATATGATAAAAACCCTCATTAGTAAGCCCTACATGGCTTTGGGAGGTTTTGAGGGAACAAGCAGGTAATATACTACAGCTAAAACAAATGTGTGATTTTCATTACATTGAAAATAGCAGGGGAAAATGGAAGAAACAACTAAGTAGAATGAGTTACTAAACAGAATTACTAACTTTGGTTAAATGTAATTACTGATTCTGTACTATTCCTAAAAAAAACTCACGTTAACTTCTTGTATGCTAATAAAATAAAACCCTTACTGGTATAACCAACAGAAGATTAAGACAAATCTTTTAATGTGATTTTGTAACATTTATTTTACATTTAGGCTTTAAAATGTATTTTAGAAGAATTAATTTTTCTTAGTTCTATTTTAGTAAAACCATTTCCAAGGCTTCCGTTTTCTCTTAAGTGGAAGGTACAGGAAAGTTGGTGGGGGAAGAATGAGGTGAGCTGGAGAGAGCAACAATATTAAAGCAATTTATGGGTATTTTTCCATGGCTGATCCCTTCCAGATAATGTAACTGCAATTACTCTTTGGTTTTTGTGTAAGTGATGCAGAGATTACACAAGAAAATCACAGTGTGAATTAGAATGAACCATTTAGGAAGGATGATAGAGATATAAAATTATCATTACAAATTAGTCACAGGGACAAAGTACAGCATAGGAGCATACTCAACAATAGTTTAGTATCTTTCCATGGCAACAGACAGCAACTATACCTATCATGGTGAACATTTTTTAATATCAAATCACTCTGAACTGTCAAATCACTGTTGTACATTGAAGCCAATATGTGTATTAAGTATATTTCAAATAAAAGATTGAAAAATAGAATGAACAACTTAAGTTTTGGAGACAGTAGGCATGCAGTGTTTAATACACACATAGGTTTAATGAACCTGGATTGGCCCTCATCCTTCTCTCCAATATCCAATATCCTTCTGTTAGGATTCTCTTCAATATCACCTACTCTAGTTAGCCTTCCCTAACCACCCAAGCCTTAAACCTCACCTCCCTATGAAAAGATACTATTACTGACATTTTGTAGGAAAGGAAATCAAGGCGGAAATTCAAGTAATTTGCCAAGGACATTAGATAAAAGGCAGAGCTGAGACTAGAATGTGGACAATTTGATCCCAGAGGACACATCCCTTGATGATATATAAAGTTACTCAGATAAAGAATAACTTCTATTAGAGACTTTATTTCCCACATTTCCCAGGACTGAAAGTTATTTCTGATTCACATTAACAAGACATGTTGGAGCCTTGGATTTATGTTGTCAATGAACACATTTTATTAATAATTCCTTGTAATAGATACTAAGCTGAAATTCAATGACTAACTGAATTCATGCCATACATGTATATCCTGTTTTCGATTTTCTATCAGCAAACATCCTATTCAATAGTATTTTGAGTACCTTTAGAAAATGAAATCCCAATTACTGCTGACAACAAATGAGTACATGTCAAGTGTTTCAAACTAAGCAAAGCTGCTTGAAAAACTCTCTGAAAATAATGTACTCGTTACTTAACAAACAATACAGGCAAATCAAATCAAATCAACTACTGAACAGGTTTCAAGTGAGGCTTTCTCCCAAAACTTGGAAATAAAGGAAATTAGCCCTTGGAACTTACTTTTAAGATTAATGGACTGCAGCAAACTGGTTAAGTCACCTTCATGAGAACAGAATTACTTCTTCAATGTATTCTGCTTATCAATCTATCTAAAGAACCTGTCAGGCAGAACAGAGACTGCCTGGTAAATTATATAGAACAGAAAAGAGGTGTCACAGAAGTGAAACCTGGCTGGGCCCAAATCGACATTTATGGAATAAAAAATGGATGCATGGTATCAAACCCAAAACACTTCAAGCATTCCAGATCCACTGGCATATCATCTCTATTGAAAAAGACAGTCTCAGGAGCAAATTTTTACAAAACAAGCATATTTCTGATTTAGCTTACAGAGGTCAAATTTCAGGTATTAACATGGTTGTGAATTCTCAAATTAACACATTGATATTATAACCTGGCACTCTAGGAGGAAAAAGAGAGAATGTTTTTCCAAAGCAAACATCCCTGTCTCAAATCAGCCTCTCACAAACAAATGTGCACGTGAGATTACCAAGTTATCATCCTGTGAGCTCAGTTTAAGCAAATTTTCCCTGCGTGTGGGATTTGTTGATCCTTCAGCTGGGTAAGTACAGTTAGTGAATCCTACTGCTCCTAAGAAAGCCTCTTGAATGAGACTGCTGAATCAAGAATTCTTCATGACAAGAGCTCTCAAATTTTTCTCAGCAAAGACATCTGAAAAATCACATAGCAATATAAGCACAGTAGGTAAGACATAATTGCCTTTTGGTCAGATAAATTTGGGAATGATGAGATATCTTGAGAATAGAATCATCTTCCTTTAGAGATACTATTTTAAAAGAAATCCTTATTTCCATAGTAGATGCAAAACTCTAAAACATCTAATCAGCCAAAAGAGTATATAACAGTCATGCATATGGAAGTAGTTTACTTCTAAGGTGGGTTAAGGAACAAAAAACAGCAATTTTAAATCTCAAATGTTACAAAGTGTTTAAATGCTTTTAAGGCATGGCATTTGGTAACTAACAAAAACCATTTTAAATTTGGTTCTCTGAAGTAGTCATTTCTTTAGCTCAAAGAGGATAGACCAAAGGAGTAAGGTTATCTTACATAATTATAATCTGTTGGTACAAAGTAATGTAAGCACCCTCATGACATCCCCCATGAAACAGTGTATCATGGCAGTGATTTTCTTAGACTCTGAGGAACTCTTAACCAGAACGAACCTGCATACACAGAGGAAGATGGAGATGCACCTTTAACTGCTTTCAAAGATAAACCTAGGGGTATTTACATGACTTCAGTATTTAAATACCTGCAAGAAATGAACTTCAGGCTAAACAAGAAAAAGGAACTAGGACATTTTGCAAGGCTTATTTAACAGTGAAGGTACTACCACCAGTTTTGTTAAGTAGGCCTCCAAGAATGTTTCTGTGAGAAAACACTTTGCTTTGGCTCTGAAAATATTGTTATTTTAAAGCAGCTAAGGCAAATATTTAGGGGCACAGCTCAGTACTGGAAAATTAGCTTAAAGAGGTAGAAATAAAGCCTTTCTATCCAATGTGCATAAAGGTAACAAATCTACAATCTAGGGAAAACACAACTAAAAAATGAATCACTCTCTTATAGGATGTTTGAAGATAATGCTTTTTAATATTTCAGATATTAAAAAAAAATCTCATCAAAAATGTATCACCTTAACAGTACGTTGCACATGTGGAATTTCATACCTAAATTTGATACTATTTTGGTTTATTTATGGCTACTCACAAGACTCAGTAATAATGTCCATTCATTGGAGTCTTTTTCTTTGGTTGAGCCTATTGGGACCAGGCTGATGAATGACTTTATGCAAATGAGATGGTTAAAGCAAATTCATGGTGTATGAATTATAAGGGTTTTCATTTAATGGAAATGAAACTTAAAAAGGATTTCCATATATACATCTCTACTGTGGTTTTGGAAGCTAATATCCTGTTCAGAGGTTATAGTTTGAATAGCTCACACAATCCTGTAAAAATTACAACTGGCTGCCCTTTAATAAATAAAATCATTGTAAAGAATTACATTTATACAGAGTGAAAAGTGAATACATAGCATTTCAAATTCAATTTTGGAAGTACTAATAAGTACTGATCCATAACAATATATACTAACTACCTTTTTAAACTGTCCATCATTAGCACCAATAAAGATTCAACAAAATTACTTTTATTCTCACATCTCAAAACAATTCTGCAAATTCTTAGTGAAGTTTAAGTATAGTCACAGACCTTAAATATTCACATTGTTCCCTATGTCATACTGAAAATAAGGTTCACTACTTTTCTGGATATTCTTTACAAAATCTTATTAAAATTCCTGGTATTATCACTCCCAATTATACAGTAGCACAACCACTCTATGTCATTTCACGATAGCTCTTTAGAGGTTTCATATCTAAATCACCAAGAACAAAAACCCTACCCGCCCTCATCTTGCACTCAGTTTAATTCTATACTAAGTCCTTGGATTATTATGTACCACTGTAAAAGTATAATTGAATCAAAATTACCATGTTTATGGATACAATAATATGCCATACAGAGCAACAAAGTTACATGTACTGACAGAGATTACTAAAGTTATGTAAGACAAAAACAAATGTTAGGACATGCTATCTAGGCATAGTCCCTAAAAAGAGGCTTCTAGTATCCTAAGTTCAAATAACATTGAGAAAAATAATGAACAACGATCTTAAAAATAATTATAAAGCTACTGGCAAATTAGGTAATTGCTAAATAAAAGTAGAGCACAAGATTAAACTACTATTTACAACTGCAACACACGAGTAAAATTACAATTGTGCACGTCAGTGGCTTTGTAACAAAAATAATTCATATACATAGAGGAAAAATTTAAGAATTTTCAGTTCAAGAGAAGCTGAATTCATCTTGACCCATCTTAAAGATACCTAACAGCTCAAAGATTTACCACAGGATAAACTGAAGATTAGCTGATATACCAGAGCCATATTACTGACGTGTAAGATAAATTTTAAAGAAATTAAAGTCTACTGTCTGTTCAGAAGTCAGATGACTGTGCAAACTTAATCTCAACAGTAATATACGGAGATGTGCAAACAAATGTAAGGCCTCCACTAGCTGTTTACCTGGAGGCTGATCTTTCTTCTCACACAGCTTCCTGATAATAACCATAAGCTATAAATACAGGTACAATGCACAGTCAGTGATCTTTTCTTTTTATTTATTGTTAGCATATAAAATAACTGAGAGCGCAATAGGTTTCATTTTTATAAGGAAGACTGCTTTTACCTGAAAAAGAAATACGGCGTCACACACACACACACATGGGAGTTTAACAATATTAAACTTCAGTATGTTTAAGAATATGGTGTTATTTCGAATGCTAAAGGAAAAAGGATCCCTGTTTACTGTTGAAATATGTAGTGTTAAAGTTGTTTGAGGAAAAACTTACTAATTCTTCATTATGTAAGTTTTTGTGAATTTAGTTTTCAAATCACAGCTACATAACAATGATTAACAGCTCTGTTTATAGTACTGCAACAAGCCAAGAAACATTTAAATGCACTTCACATCAAGAGTATGTAAACTTTATTTTTTCCTCTTCAAGCCTTCAGAAAATCAGGGGCTATTTCAGCAGCCGACCTGGTCAGAACCTCTGAAGGCAAAAGTTCAGGGCCTCACAGTGTGCATGACCGTTTGCGGCACTGCATACCCATTTGCTAGTGAAGTGTCCCCCTTCAGTGGCTTCCAGTAAGGCCTAGAGTTTAAGGTTAACATGAGAAAGTGCCACGGTTGTTTTAGATTAGTGATGGACTACGACAAGATAAAATAAAGTTATTCTGTATATTGTTATACTTACAAGCAGCTCCAATCCTGAGTATTTATGGTAATATCTAAACATACAAAAATGTATGTACATTTTTCTCCACTTTCTTGTAAACAGTTGCCAGTATACTGTTTTATCCCTTTATCATTGAAACATGCAAATCATACATACAAGTATAAATACACAAAAGAAAACAATTTACACTCATTCAAAAGCCAAGCAACAACAAAAAATAGCTACAGTATCAAATCATAAATAACAAATGCTTGAGGCATTTTATATATTCCTAGGAGTAGCCAGCCATTCATTCTAATGTTCTTAGCTGCAATGGTGGCAATACTGAGTTTTGCACCTTCCATGCTTTTACAGTATTTATAACACTATCATGTGGAGATAAAGACCTGTTTACTATAATCTCTTCTTTTCAGAATGAAGAATAAAGCAGCACTTACAAATACTGAAGCAGTGGCAGCAACAGCTGGTGTCACCACTGCGAGATCAGGAGGAAGTTTTCCATTCTAACAACTTTTAAATTAAAAAAGTAAAGAAAAAATTGACCTAAACAAATGATTACATGTTCATTCCTTGGGCACTTAACAGCGAGTCCAGCATGTCGAATGTGTCTTTGTAGTCCATATGCTGGCTGTTTGTACTGTACTCGTGACTGACATCAGGACCGTTGGTCTCCACTGGCTTCTTGTCCAGTTTCACGAGGGTGCTGAGATGTCCGTAGCCCACCTGGTATGTGACAGGGGGAGGAGGGGGTAAGGGATGGTTAAAAACAGAGTTGTGAGAGGATATATACTGCTTAACAGAGGAGGAAGAACATGATGAACTACCTGAACTTTTGGAACTTTTGCTCATTTTGGAGTGATGGTTGTGAGATGCATCATTGATATGCAGCTTCTTCCGTGAAGAGCTGGAACTACAGGAAATGCCATCTGTGCCCAGGCCAACAGGACTCCTCAGAACAGCAGGAGGCATTCCTTCAGCACTGTGCTTGCCGCCACCACCACCGCCACCAGTGTGTGAGTGGGAATGCTTGTGACTGCTGGGGTGGTGGCGGTTTGAGGGATGCTCCTTGTGCTTGTCCTTATGGTCTCGGCTGATATGTGGGCTTGAATGTTTGCTCTTCCCACTGCCTTCGTCGGAAGAGCTGTGTCTTTCTGAAGAAGAAACTTTTATCTTCATTTTCAGTTCTTCTTTACTGGTGCTTTTATCAGTGGGTGGTATTGGAATCCGCAGTTTCAGCGATCCACTCTTTTCCTTCTTTTCTACCAAGTGTTTTTCAGGTTTTTCAGCATTTGCGATGGGAATTTTCATTTTAATGGGAGAAGTCACAGAACTGCTGCCAGCTGCCTGTGGCTGCATGTGTTTGTGCTGCTCTACCTGGGCAGCTACATACTGTTCTCGAACATCCAGATCAAGGGTTTCTAACTTACGCTTTTCTCTATATTTATCTAAAGACATTTTCTGAGGAATTACTCCAGGAGTAGCAGAAAGTGGCCCATGGTGTTTACTGCCTCCCACTTTGTGAGTATATTCTTGCTTAACAGAAGGATGATCGGAACCTCGGTCAGGTCTGTGATGCAATCCTGTGTGTAGTGACACAGAAGGTCCCTGCTGGAAGCTGATGTTGTATTGGCTACCAGACAAAGATGCCTCCTGTTTCTGCGAATACATCTGTTCTGTCCTTGCTGATTCTTGATGTTGAGGCCATTCTTGGTGTGATGACAAACCGTATGAAGTACTTGGCATTCCCGGTGTTAGCAATGACAAGTTATCAGGTGTATGGCTGTCTTGAACAGAAATATTTCCTGAATTTAGAGGTATTGGTGCAGGGAATGCTGATGTAGATGGTTTCTGAAAACTTGGGTTTGTAGGCACACCAGTAACACTATCTACTAAAATGGAATTCTGGACCAAAGATGAACCAAGAAGTGGCGTTTCTGATACTTGTCCATCTACTTTTGGTTTCCTAGCCGCCTGATTAGCCTATTTGAATAAACACAAAAGAAACAATGACAGCAAAGGAATGTAATACAAATTTCTTTGTTTTATAAAAATTCTATATTAAACATACGGAAATAACATCACCTGGGGTTCAAGGCTTTATGTTGTCAGTAAATAATTGTATTATTGAGGAGGCATAAAAAAAAGCTATAAGAGGTTGAAAGTCCTGGTTTTGAAGTAAGATACAGGTTAAATCCTAGCCCAGCATTTGTGAAAGTAATCTGACTTGTCTAGGCTTTAATTTCCCCACTTGTAAAATGAGGAGAGTATTTCTATCAGTATCATTGTGTCAATTAAACAAATTCATAAAGTACTTATTAGCAGAGCCCACTGGACATGGTTGTTGAAAAAACTATGTAAACTATGAGTGCCTGCAACTCATGATATACTGTAATTATTTAGGACTATTGGAAATGAGAATATTTAACCATAAAAATTCAAATTGGTTAGCTATAATTGTTAGATAAGTGACAAATTGAGGTTCTATTTAAACCCTGCCATTTCTCTTACCCTCCAGTTTCGAATCCTCTTCAACCTACTAGGCGTTTTCTCCAATATTTGTAGAAACTCATGTGTTAGCTCTAAAAATAAAATTTAAATTTAAAACTTAGAAGGTGCCTTTAGGATTTAAATTTCTCTCAAGTGGGCAATATTAAAAAGGAACCTCAAGAGTTCATCTATTTCACTGTCACCCTTCTATTCAACTTTCAGTATATACAGAAGACACAGCTCTGAACCAGTATTTTCAAAGATGAATCTTTAAAAAAAATACTCCCCCCATGCTCCACCTCCCCAATTTTACATGCTTACTCAAAATTTGTGGAAAACTTTGTAACATTAAAAAAAAATTCCTCCCAAACAGAAAATTTCCATTAGGCAAACACAATAGTAATAATTGTTGCAGGCAAGATCCATTAATAGACTTTTAAAAAATGAGTGGACAAGTTTGAGGAGAAGGAGGATATTGGTGTAATCCCAACATACCTTCCTCAAGACATTTCAAAGAGAAAAATAGTAAATTTACAATGGAGATACCCAGGAAATACCACCTTGACCAAGTGACCATGGTTATCATTACCAGCAATAAGACATCAACAGAGACGTGCCCCTTGATTGGAGGCACTGAGTAGGGCACAATCTATTTCTGTGACAGCCTTGCCAAAAATGTGTAACTTCAAGTCTGATCGTGAGAAAACATCACACAAACTCCAACTGAGGAACATTCTATAAAGTTCCTACTGACCATTATTCTTCAAAGTGTCAAAGTAATGAAAGAAAAGGAAAAATGGAAAAACTGTCAGATTGGAAGAGATTAAAGGGGCAGGTCAACCAAATGGAACATGGGATCCTAGAACAGAAAAACTGGGGAAATTCAAACAAAATCTGTAGTTTAGTTAATAGTACTAGACCAATGTTAATTTCCTGGTTTTGATAATCATGTATTATATAATACATTAATATTACAGAAACTGGGTGAAGGGTATACAGAAACTGTGTACTATTTTGCAATTTCTTTAAGTTTAAAATTATTTCAAAGTTGGAGAAAAATTCCTCTACCTATACTTATAACTTCCTAAAATTAACACAATTAACACACTAGTAAACCACTTGGTTATATTTTTACACCAATTTTTTCCCTTAAATTTAGGATCACAAGAGGTTATTATCTACTTTTTCAAAGTTGTGTGGTTATGATCAATAAGAGTTTTCTACCCCCAAATAGTGTCTCTATAAATAGTTAACTTGGTCACTCTCGAAACTATTCCGTGAATCAAATACCATGCAATAATAATGCCAATTTGGTAGCGACTACACACTCCTTTGTTATTTTTTAGTATAAATATTAAGCTTCTCTAAACAATCCTAGGCAAATGCTAAGACTGACAATGAAAATTAAGACAACACAGAATTTGTTAAAGTAACAAAAAGCATGCAAAAACTTGGCACCATTCCATGTTCACAAGCTGTGACAAAGTCTCATGAGCTTTTTGATGCAGTCTGGATGGAAAAAAATCTAATGACTGGACTACCACTTCCTCATTTGAAAAAAAAAAAAGACCACTTTTCTACTTGGCCACTAATAAATCTAGCAGATATATAATGCTCTTGGGTCCAAAATTAACAAGAAATTGTTTTGACTCAATTTCTTTAACAGCTTCATTGTCAAAGATTAAGTACACATAAAGTAAGCTTTGTTTTTCCCTAAGTATCCTCTCTATTAAATTTTATAGCAGAAGAACAAGACTGTCAAATAATCACTGCTAATGTAAGTAATTAGCTACATTCATAAAAATCACAATATGATGCTTAAAATAGGGGCCTTTCTCCCTCAAAGCTAATATACAGAAAAAAATCACAACACAAAAAACACACGAAGGTTTTTATCAATCATTAAAACAAAACAAAACAAAACTTAACAAATGAACAAAAGACCTGATAGTTAGTTAGGCTTAAGTCCAAGTCAATGTTGATTTATGAAGTCATTAAATTAATTATTTCAGTAACACTGATGCTTTAGAACCAGGCTAAAATTCAGACACATCTGATCTTAAATTTCGTTACTTCAAAATAGAAAAGAATACTACATAATATGTTGAAACTTTCTATATGTTAAGCATCCAAGATTCCTATTTAATAATGGCTAACAAAATGAATAATGAAATTGAGCCTTTTCAGAATTGAAGCAGAGGGATATTTAAGTGGTCCCTGTTGTGTCAATAAACAACTTTACCTATATAACTCAAGAGCAGGATACAAGGCAGATTACTTGCTTCTCATGAGCTTTATTTTAGCATTATGTATATAAACCATTTTTATTGATCATGCCTACTTTATCTTATCTAATACTGCTAAATAAAATGGTGGCATAGGTAACCTAATTTCAAGTTACAGGTAATAAAAACGCCCCAATGGCTTTTATTTAATTATTTATTTTATTGAGTAGGCAATTTAATTCACTTTATTTTTCTTGCAGTAAACTATATGGTGGCCACAGCTGGAGCCTGCGTCCTCTGCAGAGACTCTGGTGTTGGTCTTTTCAAGATGGTCAGTGAATTCCTGGTACAGACTTGGTGAACACTGTCTCTTTCCAGAGATCAGGGGTGAGACAGCTATAGTCTTGGAGATGGCATCCAAGGTGGCCTTGGCAAAGCTGCCCAGGGTGGCCGTGCAGCCCCTGGCTGAGGTGTAACAGTCATCAGTACCAGCCATCAGCAGCAGCTTCTTGGGCACAGGGGCAGAGACGATACCAGTGTGCCTGGGGTTGGGGATGAGGCACACCAGCACAGAGCCACAGCAGCCAGTCACCTTACAAGAACAGTTCGAGGCCCAGTGGTTTTTAGAAGATACCATTTCAACTCACTGAAGATTTCCTTCCTCTCCACATGAATTAAAAAAACAAAACAAAACTCTGGCAATGTAAGGAAAACAGCATAATCATGTGGCTGTAATACAGCATGATATAGATAGTCTGGGAGTAATTTCTCAGGAAGGAAAAAATCAGAAAATCAAGAGATCTAACAAAGAAGCATAATTTACCAGAAGGGTAGTTAAACTATGGCTAGTGGCCCAAATATGAGCAGCATCCTGTTTTTGTAAACAAAATCTTACTGGATCACAGCCACACCTGTTAACAAATTGCCTATGGCTCTTTCCAGCTACAGTGACAGAGTTCTATAGATGTAGAGACATATAGCCCACTTGATCCTGAACAACGCAGAGGGTTTAGGGGTACCAAACCCCCGTCGGCTGAAAACCCGAGTATAACTTTTAACTCCCTACAAACTTACCTAAAAAGAGCTTACTATTGACCTTAACAGATATTAGTCAGTTAATGCATATTTTGTATGTTATATATAACATATGCTTTATGTATTTTTAAATAAAACATGTTATGTTGTAGTCTTAGAATAAAGTAAGCTAAAAATGTTTTTTCAAATTGTCAAAAATTTCCACAAAAAGTTTCCCAATGTATTTACTGAAAAAAAAAAAAAAAAAAGCCTGCACAGAAGTGCACCTGCACAGTTCAAAGGTCAACTGTATTTGGCCTTCACAGAGAAGGCTGAGGACCCTTAAAGAAACATCTAAGATTTTATTAGAAGACCGCATTACAATGCCACAGGTGTCTCTCACTTTATGTAACAGATGTCCTCATATGCAGATGTAAAATCCTGTTTTCTCAACAGCTTCAATTTTGTGAAGGAAGCTAGGGAAAGCCCACAAAAACAGTAAGGTGAAAGCCTAACCAACTAGTTTAGGTAAGGAGCATCACACCTATTTCCTTTCTGAAATCTATAGTACCTGGTTAAAATGTCTTCTACCTCTGGCCATTTTATTTCTCAATCAGAGAAATTACTTAACAGGAGACCCCCAAATTCCATGTTCATGAATTGTAGAACCCGTAACTTCCAATTTTTCCTTCTCAATTCATATTTAATAACTCGAGACAACAATGACACACTATTAGCAGTGGAACTGTTAGAGCAAGCACGACAGACATGAGCAGGAGGAAAGAAAGGACAGCAGACCACCCAGTCTCCACCCAGAGACTGCCTTATCTCTCTCAGACCGACCCCTTTTGCAGGTCAGCACAAACTGAGGAGCAAAAGATATGGGTCACTGGAACCTTCCTGATATTAGAGCATATGCACTTAAGGAAAACCTTGTCGCTATTATCTACTTTTTCAAAGTTGTGTGGTTATGATCAATAAGATCATATCGTCATTACTATAACATTTACATTACAGTTTTGGCCCCACTGTGGGTTTCTTTTAGACACTCATGGGGAAAAATGACAGAACACAAACTTGGGCAAAAAAGCTGAAGGGGAAGGAGCAAGACGATCCAAAAGATAGTGTGAGAATGACAAAATGGGAAGGAGTAAACCAAGTAAACCCCCAAAAAGACAACATAAAACCCAGTGAACGGCTACCCACTCTTGGGGTCAGGCAGCACCTGTCTTTGGAGTGTACTTTCCTTACACTTTGCGAAATAAAAAACCTCTGCGGCTTTAACTCTCTATTGGTCTCCCGAATGAAGAAGAACCAAGGAACTACAATCCACTGCCCGGTAACAGAAACACACAATTAGTAATGATACCCTGAAAATGCCTTTAGTTCACTGCCTTACATCTTCTGCAATATGTTAATATCTGACTTTGAATCTACATTTTAAACTCAACAAAATTACTGTACTTTAAAATAGGTAATAGCACCATAACTAATATTTCTTTGGAAAGTTCTTAAAGGGCTTTAGATATTCAATAGTGGTTAACTGATGTTCAATTTTTTTTCTTTGGAACCAACAAATTTTTCACCCTGTTCATTTGATCATGTAATTATATTTTTAAATCCTATTACCAAATTGTTAAAATGGAATTATAGCTAATGCTTTTCAGAGAGTCTTTATCTTTTGAAATACAAGCTGAAATATTAATAGATGAAATATCTGGATTAGCATCAAAACTAACTCCGGGGTGTGGGGTATTGGGATTCCACAGAACTGATAACTACTCAGCTGGGCATGAGTATATAGGGATTTACTATTTTCAAACTTATACAGAAATAGAATTTTTCCATCATAAATGTTTTTAATGTGAAAAAAGATTTATTTTTCTTTACTTACCATCTAGTAATTCTAGAGTAACTGTAGGATCCACATATTCCCACCAATGTTTTCCATCAGTTGACACAGGAATCTCCCAGTTGGACCATTTGCAAGCCAAATGAATGCATACACATGCTATCACTGTTGGTTTGTACTGAAGACAGAAGGTCGTAAGATGTAGACTGTTGTGGAGCAGATGTGAAAATGAAGAGCCACAGAAATTCAAGTATGTAAAACAAAGAAAAACATTTACCAGTAAGATTAGAGCAAAAACAAAATTATGAAGGTTTTCTAAGTCTATAGTATAAAACCATATGATACTAAAAAGCTAACACTACAGTTATAACAATTCTAATACTAAAAAAAACCTATGTAGATTATGAACATTCCCCATATTCTCATTCTCCAGAGTATTACATTATTTAATTAACTAGAATATGTTAATATTTCTAAATTTTGTTTTTACAACTAAATTCAAAGTATTTTTACTTCTTTATAAAGGGAGGGTTACATAGTATGCTTTACTCTTCTTTTTTTCTTTTATAATGTCATGGAAAAAAAGAAAAAAAGCAGAAGACTGTGAAACTGACAAGGCAGTTTCAATATCATATCTTAATCAAAAATTCTATCATTTGATGTGGCTTAACAAATACCTCAAGTCAAAGAGAATTTAAGTTATTTATGTAAAACCTAAACTCATCTGTTTAGCAAAGCCACAGAGAAAACTTACCTCTTGCTGAAAAGCTTCAAGGCCCAATGTTGTTAAATACTACAAAAATATTACCTTTCTTCTTCTACTATATGGCAAAAACTGAGCATATAACATGTCACAGCTAGACATTTCTAACCAAAGTTTTAAATTTAAGTGTTTTTTTCGGGGGGTGGGTGTTCAGAACTCCTAGGGATCAATACGTTAAGTCCCAACAACATATATCAAATAAAATATATTGGTATTTACCGATCTCAAGTTTTAAATAAAACTTAACAGTGTTACAAGAAATAAAGGACTAACACAAATCTGATTTGTTCCCCTCCTCCCCAATGACTCATTTAAAAAACAAATTTAAATCATTAATATAATCAATCCAGAATTATATATATTAAAGTCTTTTAAAACCCTTCAAACAGGAAGTTATTTTAAGGTAAAAACTGTACTTATACAAATCCAGGACTGATAGGACTTGACTACTTCTCATTTGCTACTAGTGGGTATTATCTGGAAAAAAACCCCCAAATTATATAAATTTTATTTATTAAAAGAAAATCTTTAGTGATTATTTTCAAGTTAAGATTGGATTAATATGAAATTTTTTTTAAAAATTGTCATTTAACTATAATTGTAAACTAGAAATAGCTTTATACTTACCAAGTTGCTCGAATTTCTACGTTAAGTTTAGCTCTTTGTAATCTTTAGCTGCTATTCAGGCTACCAATTTTAGACTTATGCACTCACAAATCGAGAATATGTCATCAGAAAGCACCACTACACTTCACATTGTGCATTTAACCCCTCTGTGCCAAAAGTCCCTTGCACAATACACCGCAAAGCAGACAGGAAGGTACCACCACAGTAGATGGTCCAGTCTCCTGCTGCAACAAGGGTAAGAGGCACATTGAGGGGGCCCTGCATTAAAGGAAGCTATAGTGTGCTACAACAGTGCAACAAAGAGGGTCAGGATAACAACCTGTTGGTAGCCATGAAATAGGATGTCTGTGCCAAATCCTTGCTTGCTGTAAGAAAAGAAAAAAAAAAAAAACGAAGACAATACTATCAGCTTTAACATGCTACCATCAAAAAGTTCTCAACACAACAAAAACTTCAAAGATTTGTACACAAAAAGTAAATTGTACTTATTACTTACAAATATCACAAGAGCGCCATCATTTTCTATACTACTGAAAATCTTCAACAACATTCACTCAAATGTTTCTTGCTATCCCCCAAAGATCTGAGAAACAAGCCGATTTGCTTTTAGCTAGCCAGTTACAAGGGCTAAACTTGTTACTAAGTTAAGCATCTAGTCAGCTAAAAGTTGCAATAAAGCATTCTCCTGGATTTAAAAAAAAAAAAAAGAAGAAGAAGAAGAAAAGATTTTGAAGTCTAATGCAAAATACAAAGAGTTGCCTGCCAGACTTAATCCTCAGTCATCATATTTAAGTTGGCTTAAGTATGAAGAAGAAGAAAAGATTTTGAAGTCTAATGCAAAATACAAAGAGTTGCCTGCCAGACTTAATCCTCAGTCATCATATTTAAGTTGGCTTAAGTACTTGCATCAAAACAAAGCAAAACCCTCCACCCCCCAAACTTAGCACAAGGTGCTCAGTTTTTCATTATGCTACTAAGTATCAAACAACGTAGAAACATCATAAAGGTGTAGATATAAGAAGCTCCACTATATATTTTTTAAATTATAGAATCCAATTAATGACAACTTCAGAAAAGAAAGAGTACTCTAGAGGGGATCAGGATGCTTCGGCACTGGTCCCCAATAGAAAAGCAGTTTTAAACAACGAGCTTCTGAAAACAATGAAATTAAAAACAATCCCCACCCCCTTCTGCTGCTTATTCTTCCCAACAGGGATGCCTCTGCTCTGGTTTCCCCTCTTCCCAATTACATTCATTATCACTGACATACCTTTCCCTTATGCTCACCTAGAATCAGCTCATCTCAACTCACCCCTCTCTAACAGGCCTCAAATTCCTTGCCCCCTCCTATTTTTTATTGGTGGCACCTGTAATCTCTGCTGCCCCATGAGGATCATCAACATAAAGGTTTACAAAAGGGATTTGGGCTTAGCAGAGTTGTGCTAAGGAAGAGTGTCAAAGCATCAGATGTCTTGGAGGCAGTGTGACTTAAGTATGGCATTCTTTCCTGGTGGGGAGGGAAGGAGAAATCACAGAAGTAAAAGGTCCCTGTAAAATGACATTAGCTAATTCTGTAGCAAAGTAGCATAAGTTATTCATCTCAGGGTGGGGAGGGTGGGGGGAGAGGACTTTAAAAACAATCAAACAGTTTACCCCTCCACCCCCACAAAAAGAACCAAAGTATGGAGAAAAGTAAAAAATAAAACTGTAAACTGCCACACCAGTTTTCTTCTCAGAATAATATCTAATAACTTATTAATAGTCACTGTGCAACAGAGGGAGAATATAAGGAAAATGTTTTGTTAGCAGAAAGTGTAATAAAGCAAATAAAAAAAAGATACCTGACATGAATAACATTTTTTAAATGGAGTGAGATGTAAACTATAATACCTGACATGTTAGACAAAATAATGTTAAACACATAATAAGATTTGTACTAAAATTTAAGAATTGGCCACATTTTAACATAACAACAAAAAAATCAGATTTAAATACTTTGCTTTGGATAATGTATCAAGTTTTAGTTTCTTGTAAATATTTTAAAATTTACTCTTCATTTTTGCAAATGAATGGGCTTTATGTCTGGCTTCTTTAGATGTAGGAGAACATATGTAAGAAACATTAAACTTTAAATAAAAGTTTTTAAAGAAGCTGACTCAAATTTCACAATAATACTAAGCTGAAAATCCAGTTTCACTTCCTATTCTAAAAAATATGCATTTTAACCTATATTAATATTTTTATTTAGTATCTATCTTTATTGGGCTCAATTTAAAGTAAATTATATGGCTCTTATTTCTGACAATACAGCTTATTCTTTCAAGTTTTCAGGCATACAAACTAAAGCTTTTCTCAATCCAACATCTACATTAATTAGCTATACAATTCTATACCACACTGTAATGTGTGGATGAGAATGTGCAATAAGATAAATAAATGGGGCTTTTAGAAGTCCAATTATTAACAATGACATTATGGATTTTTAAAAATGCAGTTTTTTAAAAAAAGTGAAGCTATCACTGTAGCCCTTTAATGTAGCCATGATAAAATCCTATTTGTAAAAATGAATTCGATTTAGAATGAATAAAATATGAGAACATTTGGCAAACACTAAAAAATAAAGAAAGCAAGGCCTTCAAAAGTCTTACTTGTTTTGTTTAGAATAAACCTAAAAATGTCTGGAGGTACAGAATGAAAATGCCAAATTCCATTTTTGAAAAGGAAGTACCAGAAAAAGACTTGCTAAAGGGTTCCCAGTGGTTGCTATTAGAACCTAATTCTTCAAATGGGGAAATGGGAAAGTAGAATTAAGTAGTAGTACAACATGCAACCGTGTAAAACATTCCTAGGGATACTACAACAGATACAAAGGATTAACAAGAGTAGAAAAATGTGTATCACAAGCTTTGTAAGAAGTAAAACAAGTAATACAAAAACTTCATGCTCTTGTTTATAAAAGGTTTACCACCACACACTCTGTCATGCTAGATTTATTTCCCTATTATAAACAGGAAACCATTTTTAGTAATGCTAAAGAACTTTGGAAAATGGATTAAATCAATTTCGTTAAAGAACAGCAGGTAAAACATTGCCAAAAATGACTATCTGCTAAGAATAGCAATTTTTATTGTAGAGATTTGAGGTTGGACTAACTCATAAACTGTGATCATTTTTCAAGAAGTGAAGAAAATTTGACATAAGCCAGATATTAATACTATTTTCTGCACTGTGTTAATGGCCTACATCTTAAAAATTACCTTATATCAGACTGCCATAGCTCAGTGTGGGAGGTGGAGAGTCCTAACATTGGCAGCCCCTTCAATTTTTAGTGAAATGAGGCTCTCAAGTTTAAAGGAAGCTAATTCTAATTCACCAGGTAGAATCACAAATAGGAGTGGATGCCTAGATAGATGGAGAACACTAAAAAAAAAAAAAAAGCTTCAAAATGGACATTTCCCCCATTTAAAAAAAACTCAAGAAAAGGCAGGATGAACATAATAGCATTCATATCAATTACAGAAAATAGAGAGCATTAATACTCAATTTAAAAGTTTCAAAGATCACTTACCTCTTACTAACTGGGTACATTTCACCACATCTGTGTGTGGGTGTTCAATGGTGATCTCAAAACCTGAAATGAAAAGCACTTTTTTTCCCAATCACAATACTTGCCTGAGAAATGCCATTCATTATACAACCATAAATGTGTAATCTTTTTCATTATTAAAAGAATTCAAAGTTTCTCACCACTGACATGCTCCTTGTATCTCCAATGGGATAATTTCTTCTCAAAAACAATGTTCCAATTATGAAAATTTATAACAAGTTATTTACAGATGAGGGACATTTCTTCAAAATTCGGAATTACAATTAGTTGAGATCATCCTCAAGTTAAATTAAAATCATGACAAATACAATTAGTAAGCTTGCCCCAGTTTAAGCGGGAATTCAACTATGTAATGTATTTCTAAAATGTATTATAATTCTTTCAGAAACTGTGAAAAGAGTATTTTTCATAAATGAAATGTTTGGCCACAGTGGGAGAAACAACCTTTTAAATGATACAGTCTTATTTTCTCAGTATGTCTCAGATTAAAGGGTTTCTTTCAACTAGTTAGTTACTACATTTCATTAATTGTAAAATTGGGAAGGAAAGTAAATCACCTGGCCTGAAGATTCCTGAAATGACTATTTCTAAACTCAAAGATGAAATACATGTTGAAAAGCTTTCAATGTTTGATGAACCCTTAGGTGGGAAAAATTTTTTTAATAAGTGGAGGTCACATCTAGAGCCTTTAGAAGCAGTAAATGAGTAACATTCTAACAAACAGGTAATTTGGATTTATAAAGTTACTATGTGGTCTTTTTATATTTCTATCATACTTAAACCTAAAAATCATACTTTAGTGAAAGCCCCAGAGGTGTACCTTATAAATTCCATGACACAAGAATTTCGTACAATAAAACAGTAACTTTATATTTAAAAATAATTTTCCTTTATGACCTTCATTATAAACATTTGTAGATTTTATAATTATATAATTTTATATAATAAAACATTAACATGCTATATCATTGGATTTAGAGGGAATAAAAGATTCTCACTTTTACTTTTGTATCTTTATACACTATAAAAGCTTCAGGCAAGTTTCACACATTTCAAACAAGCTACTTTTATTAATAAAAATGATCTGTCCTGATGGGTAACTACGATTATCACATTTCATTCAACATTTTGGAATAAACAGAGTAATAAATAACTATCATAATAAATAAAGATTATTTATGGCACACACTCTATGTGTCAGTTTTTATGCATATTGTCTTTCATCTTCAAATTCACAATGTTGAAGCAGGCATTACTCCACCTCACATATACAAAACCAAGGTACAAAAGGTAAAGGAACTTTGTCCAAGTCTTACAAACCAAGTCATAGCTCTGCAGTTTTAAACTCAGATTTCCAGAAAGCCCATGTTCTCCCCATCACAACTTGCTAGGTTCTTTCAGAAGTATACAACTTCACACAAATCAAACCTTCTTAGACCTTTTATTTTCCTCATCAGTAAAGGTAAAGATTAGAATAAATTATCTTTAGATATCACTTAAGTTGCACAAATCTTGTAGACAATGTAACTTTTAGAAAAGGATGATCAACACTTAAATGACTGTGTCACATTAAAAATGATGTGATACATACTGACTATAAGCTCTGTCATGTATGCTTGTACACATTACAATCATTGTACACATTACAATCCTAATGGACCACTTTGCTCTCCAATGTAAATGCAGAGTGAAGCACAGTGTCTCAACTACCTGAAAGTATAAGATATCACAATGAAGGTTTTTACCATTCAGTTAAATTACGCCAAACGAAATTAAAAAATGATTTCCTTATAACCAGACAATACTATTCTGCCCCCAAATCTACTTTAAAAATTAAACTTTCTTCAATGATAAAATTATTCCAGAAATATTTTCCTTTACTTAGAACACTGCACTGAAGAACACACACAAAAATATCTGACAGCAGTACATACCTAGGGTTTGTAGCATTATGGTTTCAAGTAAAACCAGTTCTTGAGTCTGTTGAAGGTAAGCCTGCCAGGTAAAAATTGTAATATTACAATAAACGTAACACTACTGGACTACAGAACTGGTTAATCTCATGATAATTATAGACTGATTGCAAAAGAACTACAGTAGTTTGGAAGTATGAAGGAAATGAATTGAGGATGAAGAGAAATCCTATTTTCTTTGACAAGTCTAAACTGACTCACTTCTAATATAGGAAATATAAACCAACAAAAAAAACAAAGAAAAACAACCTTAAGATAATGATAATATGAATGGCGTAGGTTAATTGAAAAAAAAAAGAGAGATCTTTATCTGTAACTACACTTTACCCTGGTGTTTTGAGACACATTAAGACAGGAAGCACCAACCCAAATAAGAACAACAAACCTGCCTCTAAAGAAAAGGCTCATCAATTCACTCTAGGATATTTCATGTGGTAATTCCTTGAGAGTCACAATAAGTCAGCTTTAGAATTAATTTCCTTTCTTCAGCAAAGAGAAAATAAAATAAAGCCCTCAAGTCTCTAGATTAAAATAAAAAATTATATACATATAAAATACAGAAATTATGTACCATACAACTGTGGGGACATAAATAGAGGACCTTCTCCCTCAACTATAATAAATCGTTCCCCTCCTGCAATTACTCAGGGAATAAAGGGCATGAGAAAGTTTCTTTTCATCTCATTCTTAGATCATGACAACTGACTAAGGTGATAACAATATATCACATACAAATATTCATTTATGTAAGGACACAGTGCTAAACCCAGAGAGTGAAAGTACCTTTAATTTTATTTATGCCCCATTCTGAAAAGGTCACTGAATTAATTTTTAAAACATGATTTATATTATTTGAATACCTTAAGTGTTCACAAAAAATAACTATTAATTTGCAAAGTTAAAAGAAACTATACATCTATCTTGGAAAAATCACACATTCTCTATTATTCAATGGCTGCATTAATATTTTACTCCCTTAAATCTAACACCTAGAATAAAACTTAGTCATTAATAAAATCAGATATACTTAATCTGGACCTTAAACTTGATCTAAAACATACTGAATGAATATAATCAGGCAGTTATTCAGTAGTTGTAAGTTTCTGAAAGTAATTCACCTATAAGAGTGCCACAAAAGTGACTGTAAAGGTTTAAAATTGAATTCTAGTTTCTGTTTTAAGGTATCAGAACATTTTTAAATGGTACTTCCAAACAAGGTCTATTAAAATGCTGATGATGAGCAAACTGTCTGGAAACTAACATTACTGTTCAGGAAAATTAAATTATTAAAAAAATGCCTCTCATGAAAGCATGGTACAGAGAGATAAGCAGTAGTATATATGCATTAATAAAGGAATAGTTCTGTAAAAAGACTAATTACTGATCTAGAGGTAAATCTAGAGGTTTTTCTATTCATTCATTTGCTTACAATTTAATAGAGTTAGTTATCTCTGGTCTCAAATACACTCAAACAATGGAGATATGACTTACCCTCTACATATATCACAGGTTTGCTGTGAGGATAAACAACAAAATGTGAAACACTTAAAAAGTACCTTGGAATCAAAGCCTTAATGACACTGAAATTCATGAACATATAGGAAATATGTTTCTGCCAGACTGCTTCCTAGTATTACATTCTTAATTGGTAGTAGAAATAAGTGGTATTTGGAAGGCAACATTAACTGAACTGTATTTTTATTAGGTCTAAATAATGAAAATGTTTCAATTTACAAAAAAAACCAAAAAACCCAATTTTTACATACATCACATTTAGTATCCAGCAGTGGCTCTAGGGGGTGAAGACAAGCATGTGCTACTTTGATAACATGTTCAAGTTTCCGAGCCTGTTCTTCCACTTTTGCAGCCAAAAATAATGCGGTAGGTGATATTATCTGCAGAAAAGACAAAAATTTGGTAACTTAAAAAAAATTTTTGGAGGAATTTTCTACTTTCTAAGGTGGGAGGGCCTCAGTGCAAGGAAGGAATGCACTATTAGTAGTGTGACTTGCAAGTTGGGCTATGACAAGGTTGGTAAAATATTCATTAAATAGAACTAGTTACTCCAATTTACATAATCTGATTTACTTGTTTTGGAAGTAGAATACTAAAGGGCAAGAGCTATACTTTAGCTAAGAAAAAGCTGAAATGATATTAATGCACATTGTAGAAGTAAAGGAAAAAACAACTCAAGCAAAATAAAGCCATAGCTTAAAAAAAAAAGAAAAAAGAAAAAAGTACACCCTAAATTTCCCTCTTTTTGGCCACAATGAGTCACCACTTTCTAGGGTTCTTTTAAATTAATGATTCATATGTGGCTAAGAGATACACAATCTTGCTGAAGACACAGAAAAGGGACCCCTAAGGCAAAATGAGAAGAGATTTCTGGACATCAAACTGCTAGTACCTTTATTACTTCACTACAGCAATATTAAAGTAGCTAAAAACAAAAACAACCCCACAAAATAATGGGGAAAAACATGTAAGATAAAGCAACAGAATAGGAACCTTGCCAACTGGAGATCAAGAAATTAACTTTAGTAAATTATGTTCTTGGTATAAATACAGAAGTGTAAGAACATAGCACTACAAAAACACTGACTCAGAGAAGCATCAATTTTGAGCAATATTTACCCAGAAAGTAATAAACCAAGTAACTGACTCAGAAAATAGGCATACTTTAAACTCAAATAATATTCTAAGATTACATACAGGCAAAATTTCATGGAAAGATAATTTCTAAATGTCAAGATTCAGGTACATCATTTTGCAAGGGATGAACATCTAAGTCTCACTGAAACTTGGGGGTCATGAATCACTACACAGAAACAATGCCCAAAGAGGGTAGTGACAAGAAAGAGAGGCATCAATCATGATATATGATGGGGGTAGCTAAGAATAAGGAAAAAAACCTCTGATACAAGGAAGGTGGACTCTTTCCTCTGAGAACTTTTAAAAACAACCTAAAAATACTGCTGAGAAATGAAATTAAACCACTGGATTTTGGATCTGAAAGGGACCTTCTCTAGTACACCTGTATTTGCAGATGAGTAAATGGAGTAAAAAATGACTTCAAGAAGTTCTCTTCCTTATGTATAAATCTTTAAAGCAGACTTCAAAATTAAGGGAGTTTGGCTCCAAAAAACCAGAAACAATTGTTACATTAAAAGGACTGAATAATTTCAACTTGGACTTATTTTCATCCTTTAAAATCAAAATTACAACAAGGAAAAGACTTAAAAAATTAGAATGCTCAAAAAAGCAACTTATTCTCAGTTTACATAGATTTAGAATAAACTACTATTATTCTTTACAACAGACTTAATTAAGCAACATCAAAATTAGTAAATAGTCCTGAAATGACAGTTAAATAGCAGTTGTCCAGGGCAGGGGGTTTTCTTAGATGTAGAAATTATAAAGGTAATTGAGAGTGGGCAATACTCTCTATCTCCATTATTTTTTCCACATACTTAAAATTTCCAACCCATTTTGTTTGAGTAACTCCTTTTCTATTTAAAGGCTTAATTCAAAACTTTGCTTCCTCCCAAGGTAAAACTCCAGAGTCAAACTCAAGGGCCCTTCTTTATTCAACAGGGAACCACATACCTCTATTATGGTACTTATACTGTATTCTAACTTCTGGTATATTAATTTTGTCTGCCCTACCAGTCGAGAGCAGTTTGAACACAGAGACTGAATTATTCATTTGTGTTCCTATTATCTAGCATTGTGCACTGCTATTCAATGTATTTGCTGAACGAAGTACATGTGAATAACCTGTATGTAAATATAAAGGCACAAATATTAAATTCAAAGTATTCTAAATGCCACAATAAAAATCTTCACACCCACACCAAGTTAAGAAGTGCAAGAAACACCCAATAAAATGATGATACTCTCAGGTTCTGACCACAGTCTCTCATTTATGATCTTGTCCATTTTTAAGATGAGAATGGCTATGCCAGACTTCAAATGCTAAGTATTTTCAAATAGTCAAACAACAGAGGCTCAAGTCAAAAGTCAAATTAGACTGAACTTAATATTTAACCTTCCTTCCTTCCTAACTGCCATATAATCAAGAATTTCTCTTACTTGCCTAACTGGCATTTCTAAATGTCTCCAATGAATTTTTCTTGGTAAAATCTCTCCAGATCCCCGTCATAGGCTCTATCCTCTTCAGACTTTTTGTAAGCCTCAGCATCAAGAAGTACTTTCAAACCACACAGCTTTTCTCCTTAGAGGATAGTGTCAATGGATACAAAATATTTGTACTACTGCATGATTCTAAAATTCTAAAAATAATTTAAAGAAGTTAAGTACACTCAGGGAGCTAAGCAATGATCTTCAGGGCAAAGTCCTGGTTTATTTACCATACTCCTTACAGAAGTCTTTCTGTTCCCTCTAAATAGGCTCAATTCTCATCCTCCAGAGCAACACTAATACCCAACACTCTTCCAAAGTTCCTGGTGAAATCCACTAACTCCACTCACATTGCCTCCTCTACAGCCTGCAAACACTTTATTCCATCAGAGCTGTAAAAACAAAACAAAACAAAACAAAACAAAATACCTTTTTAGATAATACTCTGTAAATATCCATGTGAACTTTAATTTTAACGATGACTAAGGAAGGTAATCAAACCAGGTACTCTGCTTTTTGCATGATTTTGTTGTGTGTGCTTATTAAAAGGAAAAGAATTCCAAAATTTTAAGTAATGGCAATATTGCTAGTTGGTCTGTGGCTTTGAAAGGTGACCATACTTTTGAAAGCAACAAATATTCATTAGTTCACATAAACTTAGCTCAAAGTCAAAGTGTACACACCAATACTGGAGTAGATACTTGGTTAGTTGAAGTGACCAAACAATTACAAACTGAGAGTTCACTGGGGACAGGGACCACACACTACCTGTCTTGTGTTCTGGTACCTAGTTTAGTGTACTTTCTCAAACTACTGTAAAGTGAAGGAAAGAAAAATGGATTTTTAAATAGTGACCAGAGTTTGTCACTCCAGCAGAAGTACAACTATTTCAAGGTGATATTACATTCTCAAAACAAGACAAATTTCTTCAGAAATATACCATATAAATCATGGGGAGGGGAAGGTAGAAGTGATGAAGCAGCTGCAGCACAGTAGACTGCCTCAGTGAAATCCTGGCTGTTAATCTGACTAGCCTAGGCAAACAAACTACTTATTCTCTTTATGGCTCAGTTTCCATATCTGTAAAATGGGAGAAATAGTATCTGCTTATAAAGCTGGGATGAGGATTAAATGAATCAATATATGTAAAGCACTTAGAACAGTGCGCCACAGTAACAGGACTCAAGTATATTATTACTATATTGAAAAATTAAACAACTGTGTATTGCTAATGTTGACCTTAAATTAAAAAATGATTTACTATGCTTTAAAAAATTCCCTTTCTTGCTTACCTACCTTCCCGGTTAATCTCAATTCTTTAAAGGCTCCGTTGTGGTCCTAGCTAAGCAGATTCAAACACTGAAACTTATGATACTTGACATTACTTCAATGATTATACCCATATTCCTTTCTTTTTTTCTTTTTCCATTGTTTTCACCTGATTCTGTTTTCCTATTCCTGTATATGCTCCCATTCCTACCTCTTGATCTGACTGCCTTCCTTCTCTACCTTTTCTCTGCCTGCCCATTCCCAGCTGCTGTCTCCCCTTTCTGCTCATGATGCCCTCACTGTTGACATTCTTCACTTTCCACTGCTGGCTTCAACCTTGACAGGTGGAAGCAAGATCAATTTCAATTAACAAAAAGCCTGGGTAATTTACAAGTCACTGAAAATGGCTGTTATCAGTCAGTTTCAAATGAATCACTCTGTTCTTTATTCTTTTAGTAATAAATTTTCTGCATAAATCTTGTGTGTATGTTTGTATAGCCATGGATGTTTCATTACTCAACTTTAAATCCCCTAATCCAAAAAAGCCCTAACGAAAGCAAAGAAAAGACTGCCAACCTGCTTTTTATTTGCTAATACATTATGAACAGGCTCGTTTTAATCTGTTCTTCTGTTCCATCTTAAGGTCCATAGCACAGTGAAGACACTTGTCCTGTCCCTTAATAGGCTCAATGCCTGCCTCCTCCCCTAAGACTAGGATGACTGTTTCCAGTGCCTTGAAAAGGGCTTCATCAGTAAATATCCAGCTAGTTCTAGATATCACAGCTCAAAGTTTAGAAATCAGTTGCTTAAGGTTATAGTTAACAAAAAGTGGTAATGGTGTAACTTTAGCAAAGACTCATAGAAACAAGGTTCTAAAAGAGCAAAATGGAGGGGAAAAAAACACAGGTCACAGCACCTCCCCCACCCCCACAAAGAACAAAATGGATTAGGTCAAAATATCCACTAGTTAAAAAGAACGATCACCAAGCTTGAACAAATATTGTACAAAATATTCCAGTACAATATTAAAAAGTAGTTTAAATCCTTTCTTTTGCTACATTAAAAAGACTGGCATTAAGGTATTAGAGAAAATGTCATTTATTCAGTCTGATATTTCAGTTGTTTTCCTACCCACACAATCATGTGGGCATCTATTATTGTCAATGTAAAAAATTTATATTGAGGTGAAAAAATAAATCTTCAGCCTGGATGCTATTTGGGACACCTAATTATACTTAGAAGAGAGCTGGCTTAATAAAGACTGAAAAATATGAGTACTTACTTTTGCTGATAAAGCGGCACTGATAAAAGAATATGACTTGATTTCAACAGAGTAAGTCTATTGTATTTAAATATATTTTAGTGCTTAATACAACCTGGCATTGTCAAATTTATTTATTGAAGAGTACCTCACCATTATGAATTTGTTACAAAAAGAAAAATTCCACTTACAGTTTAAAGTACACTTAACATTTCATAGTTAAGT